GGCGGCCCCGCGTGCCGCGGCAGAGGTTCCGGGCCCCGAAGGGTGAAGGGACGGAGGGTCCGGGCGCGGGGCAAGGCCGGGCCTCAGCGACCCCTCCGCCTGTAAGCCAATGGCAAAGCAGGTAGCGAAGCTGATGGGCGCTCGGCTTTAAGGCAGGAGGTTTCAAACGAGGCGTACAGTCAGCTGAGGAACTCGGTCTGCGCGTTCCCCGCTGTCAGCCAGCTTCACACTGCTTCAGATGTTGGGCGACTGCATTGAGGAGATTGTCAACGACAAAGCGGTGTTTTCAAGCGAATGCAAAGCTTGTCAAGGGGCTTGGATGATCGTGCAACCTGCAGGAGGGAGGTGCGCTGCCAGCATTATCCCAGGGAACAGACCTGACAGTCAGCAGCTCCTGAAACCTCTCCCTTACCTGCTGGGACTTGGCGGATACCTCCTAGGCTTTCAGGTACCCACAGGAATGAATGCCTCTGCCCCTGGCCTGACACCAGTTTGAGTTGGGTATCAGAAGCACAGAAAGCATGAGCTGAAGCATGACTGCTATGTTAAGCCAAAACTACTGAAGGTCCTCATTTTAGGATAAGTAGTCACCATTGAGTTCAGCTCTGCTGGCGATATAAATTTGAAGTATTTAAGTTTTAGCTAAGAAGTATTTTCATCAGTAGTGATAGATTTGTGCATTTTGTGGCTGCCCCATCCCTGGAAGTGTTCAAGGCCAGGTTGGATCGGGCTTTGAGCAACCCGGTGTGGTGGCGGGGGGTTGAAACCAGATGGTCCTTAAGGTCCCTTCCAACCTGAACCATTCTAGGATTCTATGATTTGCCCCAAGTATTTTTTCTGTGGGTGAGAACCCCTATTCATTGTTTTCCACTGTACTCTTGTGTAAGCTGAATCTTGAAACGGATACAATAATTTGTTTTGTTTTGACAAAGAGTTAATTAACTCCTGCAATCCTATATTCTGAAAATGAAATTGTAGGGTTATGCTTGCAAACAGTCCACTCTACAATTGAGTTTGTCCTATAGGCACAAGCTTTATCTAAGAGATCTTAGTGAGTGCATCTTTTTGACTCATGGAAGGTCTGTAGCATAGCACCACACAGCATTTGCCTTCCTCTGCAGGACTAGTGGGGAGTGTTCAGCACTCCCTGCTCTCCCTAATATAAACCATCCAAATTTGAAAGCCCCTTCCTGCTACAGCCAAAGTTCTTCATCCTGCAGGCAGTCGCTGCCCAGAGAGCATTAAGAAGTGCCTTCTCCGCACCAAAAGTAGAGTAACAAAAAGTTCATTCTGATTTGGAGTAGATTCCAAATTTTAAGACTTAACTTCTAAGCCTGCTATGAGAGTGGTCTGTCCTAGTAAACATACTATATTTATCAGCATGATTATACTAGTGTATCTATGTAAGTTAGTGCATCTAAATGCTTAGCTGCTGATTGACGTAATAACTAGGTTCTGGAGACCTGCACTTGCCCCTCTGACCACTGGCCACCCATCTCCAGCAAGAGCACTGCCAGAGCCTGGCTGCAAGGGGCTTCCTGTGCTTCTGGGTGCCTAGCAGGCCCCAACTGAAAGCAGCGTGAGCACACCTTAAGTAACAGTGCAAACCCACAGAATCCTCATCAGAAATCTACTCAGCAGCAAAACCAATACATTTCTACAGAAATTCTGGAGTGCCAGAAATTTGCATTCCTGAGTAGAAAAGTTAACAATAGAATTGAGAAACGCTCAGCGTAATAATTACTGAAAATAGGCTGTTCATAAAGCTCCCGCGTATGACTTGGCGAAGTTGGCAAGGACACAGGAACTTTTACTCCATTACACTGTATATAGTGAGTGTAACATCCCTATAAAGTAGAAATGCATGCAGAGGGTAAGTGGAAGAATCTCCCTGTCATCCCCCAGGCTACTGAAAAAGAGTAGGAAGAAGGAATATTTCCATGGAGAGGTAGCAGAGAAAATGCTTTTATCAAAAAACCAAAAATAATCCTTTGTTCATTTACCAGTGAGTCATCCAAGTCTTCTAATTACTTGCTACAGACTTAGAGAAAAAGCTAAATTCCAGAAAGCGGTCTTGGATGTGGGCTCCAGCACACCCCCAAGCACAGTTCCAGTGAACGGGTCACTCCTATGCGTCACAAACACACGCAGAGTGCCTGTACGTACCAGAGATGCTGTACGTAACATGTCACACAACATGCACACCACAAAGTTTAGTTCAGCTTTATTTTCCACTGTAGCGGTTTTCGAATGATACATCATGCAGTCTGCCAGTGTATCCATCCATCTGAGATAGAATTTTAGAAAGAAGATAAAAGACTTATCTCCATGGGATGGGGGAAGAGGGTTTGGGTTTGCTATCAAGAGTTTAATATATTTCAGCATCGTTTGATGCAATGGCAAAAAATTTCCCCTTGTTACCAGCAAAACGTGTCCACAATTTATTTTTTCCTAAATTGAACACTACTGTAAAGATACATAGAGCCCAGAGAATACACATCTGCAGTACACATTACACACTTTACAAACTAGACAGGTATAATTTACAGAATGCCTCAACCCCCGTGATTCTCCCACAACAAAAAGTGTTTCAATGGACAATATTGTGAGAGTGAGAGAGGAATGGGTGGATCAGTGTCCCATCCTGCACAGCGGGTGTTGTCCAGTGCACTTTACAGTTCAAACAGGCACAGTGAAGATGGAAATCAACGCAAGGGTAGATTAAGATTATCCTGCCAATTTTGTTTTTTTTTTTTTCTTCCCCTTCCATTTCCAACTGACATGTACTTCATTCTTGTTTACACAAGGTCTTTCTCCTCCAGTAATGGAAATCTGATCAGGCCTTCCCTTTTGGACCTTCATCACCATTTATTCAAATAAGACAATGTTCAGCTTACAATATTTTTTTTCTAAGCCTTAGTTATAAATATTTCAGGCAAACGTGTATATTTGTCCATTAGGCTTTATAAAATGGAATATAAAAGTTACTCTTAAGGTTCTGTAAGCAGAAACTATTGTATAGTTTTACTGTGACTTATTTTTTAATTTGCAATATATTCAGGATAATCCGCTCTCACCCTTGCTGAGTTAAGTCCAAACTTAAAAATGCATCAGCCAAGATCTTTCCAGGTTTAAAACTTTCCTTGTTTTAGAGAAAGCAAGTTAATGAAATGTGAACTCAAGGACAAACACAAGATATTTGAACATAAACACAAGATATTTGAACATATCATTAAGAGAATCTCAAGTGAGCAGGAAATACATTTAATTGCTAGCAAAAAGAACAATATGCACTTTAGTTCCACCTGAATTATGTTTTCCATTCGTGTACAGTATTTCCACCAAAATTTATCCCATGCATGACATATTAGATGTGAAATTTGATTTGCACTATACAAACACAACTTTAAAATCAGCCTAGAAAATATAACACAACATTCAAATAGCAAAGAAAGTCAGAGAGCATCAAGTAGTGGAAATAGCAAGACACAGGTTTTGATCCCTGCAAAGATGTGGTTTTCATTTCTCTATATAAAATGTGTAAGACTTAAAAATGGTACAAAAGTTGAATATACAATACGCAATACAAACTTAAGTTGCCTAATTAAAATAGGCTTACAAACCAAGAATCTATACATAAGCAGAGGAAGTTCAATTGACAACTAATCATTTCCAATCAAGTAAGTATCTTCTGTATGTCATTTTTAGAACTTTAGCCTCAGGCATCTTCTCAGCATTTCAGTTATAGAAAGTCCTCCTACAGTCTTGATGTAAAAGTTAACTTGGAGAAACTTACATTATTTTAGCTAGATGAACTGACTGGCTGATCAGCACTAGCACAATTAAGAGATGTCAAAGCTAACTTATTACTCAAGCTGAAGAAAGCTGTCTAAACTGCCGTACGTAACTAACAGTGATGGTGGCAGGAGTTTAATACATTTCATTTTTAAGCTAATGCTGCATCTACAATATACTTCCATATCAAACTTTGAATTCAAGATAGAACAAAATTCTTACTACAGTATAAAATCTTGACAGCAATTCAGTTTGGTATCTTCTCCCAGACAACCGTTTTAGAAGCAAAACAAGAGGATTGTTAGTTCATAGTAGAAATTTCAGCTCTGAATAGCTGATAAGATAGCACAGAGTAGTTCTGAATCAGTGATTTTATTGAAGATTGCATACGGCAAGTTCACAGTTCATTTTCTGGCAGTGCACATGCACATAAAGAAAGAAAATATAAAACTTTGGAAAATACAAAATAAATTAAATACATGCAAGTTTGCAACTTCATTAAATATTTTTAGCAAAACGCTCCTCAAAATAGTGCAACATTAAAAAAAAGTTAAATTAAGTCTAACTTACTTTGCAGCAACTTAAATAATTTCAGTAGAAAAAAAAATACCTAAAGTCAATTCACAATCTTTCAAAAGACTCTACATTAACTAAGTTCTATGTCTAAGAAACATTCAGAAATTAAAAAAAAAAAAAATAAGAGCAAACCTCTGCAAATAAAGACTAGAGGGTATGCTCGGCCATGACCTTCCTAGACTCCGCGCTTTGTTAGGACGTAGTGGTACATACTACCCGCATCTAAACCAGGACAGGTGTTTGTGGCACAGAAGTGGTAGGCAGGGAGGAGGAGAAGGAGCTTCCGCCTGCCAGCGGAACCTTCCCAGAATGATTCCAGTGCCCCCTTGCTGAGAAGATGGAGAATCTTTACTGGCATGAAAGAGATCCACGAAAGGCAAGCAGTCTCATCCTCATCTCTGTGAGAATGAGAGTACCATCAGCAGGGCGACTTGCATATGGTAACTTGGAAGGACATTCTTTTCCTCTTGCAGTCTGCTCTTCACTTCCTAACAAAAATATTCCAAAATTTGGTTTGCAAAGGACAGCTCAAGCATAAAACTCTCGCCTCCTTCTGGAATCTCTCTCTAATTTTTTTAAGGTAGGATCTGAGGTCTGTGGGACATTTATATTTTTTGTTTCTTTAAAGAAAGGTAGCATCTGTTCTGGTGGGGGACTGTTCACTCATCAGTATCTGAATTCTGGTGTGAACAGATCAGGGCTTGCTGAAGGCATGTGGGAAGGGGAAAGGGGGGTGGAGGGATGCTTGTCTACTTTTCCAAGACAAGATTTCCACAGCATTCTGAAAGCCTTCAAAATTTCATAGAGAACAATGCTTACAAACACATGGCTAGCCATTACACTCCAGGAAACCCCACCACTGTAGGGAGAACTACAAGCAGATCTGATCTTAATTACAAGATAGGTCACACAGATATACTCATGTAACTACCAAACTTCAAAACCTAGACCTATACTAACAGATTTCTCTGCATCCCATTTGATCTTTACCAGGTACTGCAATAAAGGTTATTTTATACAGTCCAAAGATTTTATCAGGATATTACAAATGGTTCTTTGGGGAAATTTACTTCTGGAAATGTAAGCGGTAAAATTAAATCATATAGCAGCACATTTTCATCCCCTAAAAATATAAAATAATATGTATATTATACAGTAAATCAGTCATGACAGCACAATCACCTGCCTTTGATGGCACTTTGTCTTTGAATAGTTAATTCTTTGATGCCAAAAGTCAGGATTTACTGACGCAACAGAAGACTTTGAAAAAGCATCTATCTGAGTGTAGAAGCCTCAACCTAACAAGCGCCAAGGGGTCAAACGCAGTCAGTGAGAAATTCTGAGTGGCAGACTTCCTATCATTACTTAGATGGTTATGTTAAATACATTGTACAAGTATCTGTAGAAGAGTTGAGCTGGACACTTCTGTACACGTGTAGATCCTATGAAGCTCAAAATACCTGGGACCAGTGCAGTGCAGATGGCTGTAGGAAGCGCAGGATGAACAGGACATGGACTGGTTTGAAGAGGGGAGAAAAAAAACTAGTGACTTAATGACAGTCCTCAACATGCTAAGTGGAATTCACCTGTTGAAAGAGAGAAAGAAAGGTAATGATGATTAGTGGATTTTGAGACGAGAAAGCAGATATGCAACACGGCAACTCACCTATAGCTACGGTTCACAGAAATGTGATGCACAGCAAACAAAGAGCCACCATAAAAGTGATGAAACAAGAGTCACGTGAAGCACAGTTTCAACAATTTATGAAATTAGGGTCTTGGTTACTAAGTCTTGGAGAGGAATTTTGTCAGATCTGGCTTTAAAGTTTCCAATCCACAAATTGGCACAGTCATAATTCTCTTGATGAAATTCATTCTTTGTCTCCTGTAGCACAGTGTTATGTCCTGCATAAACACTATCTAAAGGTCTAACTTTTTTTTGCTCTTATCTCTCTGTTCTTTCAATGGGGTTTTTCTCTCCACTGGTTGCCACTTGGCTGTGCTGAAAAAGCAGATGTGTGCTTATCTTATAAAACAAGTAAAGAAAGTAACTGCAGTTGAATCTGAAAACTTATGATAAAATGAAGGGATGAAAAAATACAAATCCAAAACATTCTTCTATATGTCTCCCAACCGAGAGGTGCTTTCCTTGTGTACACACACGTATATAAAAGTATGTTTACAGAAATATATTAAAATATTTTATATCTTTTATACTAATAATATATCATAAAAATACACTGTATTTTATATAATGTATATGCACATTTTCAATAACCTCTGCAATGTAGACAGGGTAAGGAATTATCTTGTAAAGATCTGCAGATGCTCCTTGGCTTAAGTCTCCTGTTTAAACCAGCTACCAGCAATTTGCAATTCAGAATTACAATTTATTAACACCCACATTTCTATTCCATCTGCTGCTGTTATTCACCAAATGCTATGCTTTCTGGGGTAGAAATCATCTCCTTATATCATGCACACTGCAGCAGGGCAAAGTGGCCCAAACTGGGTGAAGTCTGAACTTTGTCCTGATTAGTCTCACAGCATTGCCCAGCTCTGCAGAAGAAATTTTACCAGATATGAGTTAATAAATCATAATCACTGATCAGTCTAACAGCAGTGTCTGTTATTTGTGTTATCTGTACTTTGAATACTGAATGAAAGTAAGATAAATTTCATCTCATCCTGGCATAAAGTTCTCATTCCAGAAACAGAGATGTTACTTGACAGCAAATATTTCTACAGGAACTCCACCTTTATTTCACTGTTTTTAAAGGAATATAAAAGTAAGTTGTGATCTAACTCTAGCTGTGTAAGACTGCACCATTCAAAAGCACAATGTAGTTCTACAGAACATAGAAATGGCTCAGCGATATTATGGAAATAATCTATGTAAAATTTTCTCTGCACAAGTAGTGCCTTTACTAACACTTAGTCCCCTGGGCTTTCATCCAATGAGCCCAGATTTCAGAGTACTCTGATATTCCCAAAAACATTTGGAAGCCAAATATTTGCAATTTGCCAATAATCTTCTTAACTGAAGGACCAAAACTGATGAGGACTACCCTTCTTTAGTCACTGCACAGCCTTAGTTTACCACATCTTCAAGAGATCTTTCTAGGTAAAAGAAATAAAAAATTTAGAACTTGACAGAGTTGGAAAACCAGTTATGAAGTCTAAAACATGGTTCTCAGGAGTAGTGATCACAGAATGGAATCACAGGATATCTTGATTTGGAAGGACCTGTAAAGGTCATTGAGTCCAACTCCCATAGTATTTCAAATTATTGCCTTACATGTAATACGTAATAGCTAATAAAGCCGGGCATCATACTGAATCTTGAGCAATAAGGAAATTAGACCTATAAAAGCCATAGGGAAGCACTTCTGTCAATTAATTTGAAAACCCACACATACACACTTTTTAAATGGCTTCATTTCAACCTGCAGGGATTCCATTTAGTTTTCAGATTCGCTTTTCTAATCTTTTTCAGAAATCAGAAATCTGTAAGTTTACCCAGTTTCTTCCAAGATCTTCCATCTTATTTTTCTGCTACTCCGATTGCCCGTGAACTTCTCTGCAACATGTTCTAAGTATGGCCTGAATCTGCACATCCTTGACTGCCCTCAAATCTAAACCTCAGCATCTAAAACATTTGAGAAATATTCTATGCCTTCTGATTACTTATTATTGACTTCCAAAGTCCTATCTTGTTATACACTCATCTAGTTTTAAGTGTATTTATTTGTTAAAATACCTTTTATTAATCTACACTTGTTCACTTGACATATACCTAATGTGGGGCCTGTTTGAGTCTGACATTTAATTTCACAGTAGATGGTGTATTAAAGGCCCACCCACTTTAGGCAGGTAGCAGTTTTTTTCCCCACAGAGCAGCTGTTACATGTTTGGAAATATTTTACATGCCTCCATAAAACACTCTTTTCCCTTTGCTCTTTCACAGAGGTGGGAATGCAGTGAAGCAGATAGGCAGAGGCTATGTCACTTGTGAGACGGAAAAGCCAATTTCAGTTCAGAACGAACTAATGCACAAAAACACTCAGCAAAGACTTGCCCTAATTCATCCACAGTGAAAATATGTTGCTTGCAGCTACAGGGCTCATGGAAAACACAATGAACAGAAACAATCTGCACAACACAGTAACAGCTTGAGTGTGATGTGATGGATGGTTTGCATGCATGCATGACATGAAACTTTCTCAAAAAAAAAAAAAGAAAAGAAAAGAAAAAGGAAAAAAACCACTCAGGAATGCTAAGTGCCTAAAGGAAACCACATACTATTAGAAGAGAGTCATAAAACAGAATTAATCCTCAAGGAGGAAAAAAATCCCAAACTTGGGACAATTTAGCAGTCCACTGGCTGCTTTTCACAGCCACTCATTACCATCCAACTTCCAGGAGGTCTGCAACATAAAGTTACCATCTAAAATAACAGCAGATGTAAAACACCTCACAAGTAAGCAGCATTTAAAGAAGTAAATGGAATGGGGAGGGTACATGAAGCAGTCTCACAGGAATACGCTGCTTATCTTTCCAGGATGAGATTTTTGCTTAGGAGAAACCCTCAAGCCCTTGCAATTAAAGTAAAACGTATTTTTTTTCTAAAGAGAGCTGACTAAGAATGCAAAGCAAAAGAAACAAAAGTTTAAGTCTGCCAAATTGTGACAAAATTGGAGAGCGCTGTGAGGCTGCCACTCGTGGCACCTCTACCCCTGTCCCAGGCTGGAATATCACAACATGGAAACGTATTCATGTTGCAGAAAACAGAAAATTATGTTGGCAAAAGAAACCTCTGGAACTCTATTACATGAGTTTCATGCCTCTATGTGTGAATTTCAGTACAGATTACCAGAGCATTTTCTAAGAAACATTTTAAGTGATAAGTCATTAAAATAAAAACTCTCATCAGCAGCATGCAAAATATTCTAACAAGGCACTCCTTACTAAGATTACTAATTTTCACAGTTAAACTATCAGCAAACAACTCCTACTACAGCTAGAAAAAAATATTGTGGGTCTTCTAAAAGCAAGACTGAAATATAAAAAAACTAGGTGATCAGGGAAAGAACAGATGAGTAAGTTACTGCGGTCTTACTTCTCGTCTATTTGGTGTTGTGATAGTAGGTGGAGTTTGACATTCCTCCCCCACGGATGGCATGGACAGCCGTTGGAGAAGACGCCGGGTAATGACCAGGGCGGATGGGCTTGGCTGCAGAGTAAAAAGTAGGAAACCAAACAAGACATTTAGCTGTAATACAAAGTTTTCTACCTCTCCTCTAGTACAATCCCCATTGTGTCCAAACAAGGAGCTGTGCTTGCCAGAGTAGTCTGTAATTTAACTCTGTGGACCACAGCATTCCCTTACCTTGGCCAATAAGAAATACATCCATTTTCTGCTTGTGACAGGGCCATTTAGCCTTCCCATGCATGCCCTCGTCTCTGCAAAGATTATGGACTGTCTATACAGCAGAGGGGAGTGAGGACCCACTTGGTGGTCAGTGAGGTACCTTCTATGTTCAATTTGACTATTTATACTGTTCCAGAAGATGCTGAGAAAAAGCTGTCAATGGGTTTCCAGCATACAGCAGGAAATACTGTGTGCTACCTAATTCTCTTTCAGGTTTTAAGACAGTAGTCTTAAACTATCTAAAGCATTATCCTTCTACTTCATCAATTCTAAAATATCACTTAAAAAACTGCCCATTTCAAGTACCATTTAATTGTATGCATGAATTCAGATTGCACCACAAAGATGTATCAAGTATCTGAATTATATAGGAAGTTATTTGACTCTTCAAGAACTAAATTAAATCACAAGCAGGAGTAACCAGGGAAAAAAGAGGAAGGGACAAGGTCCCAAAAGGCAAGGAAATAATGAAAGCAGAAGGAGAGTATGTGGGGGAGGAAGAAGAAAGTGAGAGACTAATTTAAAGAGACAAGTTTTCAGGTCACTAGAAGGGCACGTAAGACCCATTATGCCATTTATTTACTGAGTTAAATAGCAGAGGCGCTTTAAACCTTAGGTGGGGCAGATTCTATTAAAAAGTGAAGTCTTTGAAGATTCCTGTGCAACAGAGGAGAAGCAGACCCTGTGGTGTGCCCTGGACTGCTGCTTTCAAAGCTTTTTCTATTTAAACATGAGCAAACAGACCAACCATGAAGTATGTGAGCAACCACTAACTCTTTAGCTCGATGTCCTTACCAATTTGAGCAGAGTGTGCTCTCCGTGCCATGTTTTTGGCTCTCACAGCTTCCTTAATGCGATCTACCTCCTGCTGGTACCGCTTGCGGTCTCGCATGGCATTCTCCTTGGCCTCCTTCAGTGCGCTCTCCAGGGCCTTAACTCTCTCTGCCGTAGCTCTAAGTCGTTTTTCCAGCTTAGGAAGCTCACAACGAAGATCTGCATTATCACGTACCAACTGCAAGGAGAGAAGTTTCAAAACTATCCTATGGGAAAGGCTGCCTTACAAGGAGAGACAGAAAACAGATTCCTCTTCACACCTTGTACACTGCAAATGAAACAGGTTTCTTCCAGAAACAACTGTAAAGAGCTTATGTCAAAGCACGATTTATTTTTATTCATGCAGTTCATTTGTCTAGCTGAGGTACAATATTAAATTTTCCAGAAATATAAAAGAACAAATGAGTTTATTCCATTCAACAGAATTTCACAGATCAGATCTCAGAGGGTGAGGTCTCCAGGATAAACTCTGCTACTGCAGAAGAGTCTACTACCACACCTGTTTTCCTAGACTTTAAGAGCAACTGCAGCAGAAAGTTTGTGTTTCTTCAGAACATGGAAATGTCCAACATTTCACAAATACTTGACCACCTCATTATTTCAAAACAGTAACTCTTACATAGGTCTTACAGACAACACTGGGTATCATGAAAAATTGTCTCCAGTGGCTATGGCATTCTTACCTACTTGTTCCCTATTCAAGTATATGAGAAAATTGGACAGTCTGATGCCTCAGACATTGCTAAGAAATGACTTTAAGGCCTAGAGCTATAAATGTGATTATATGCAACTTTGAACTAATGGACTTCCTCAATTAAATATGAACCTGAGCAATGTCTATCAATTGTCAGAGTAAGATCTCACTTTACATGCAACAACAGCCAAGAGAGAGAATTGACTTTTTTTTTTTTTGGTGATAAATAAACCCCTGATGCAGTTAGAAAATCTAATACATTTTCTACTGAACAGATTATACCACTAGCATAAGTCAACAGAAAACTGTTCCAAAGGAGTGATTCTCACTTGTCCGGAGTGAAGGGAAGAACACGGTTTAACTACCACACTAATAATACGGCAAAGCAACAGCACGTACTAACGCTCACACATTGTTTGACAAATCAAAATGTTTTACACCTGCTAGTCCAGGCTTAGTGCCAGAAGGACAACACAAGCTAAGCTAAAAAAAATAAATAATCAATTGTCACAATGTGTTTTTTCTGCAAGTGTTGAACCCTTGTTCTACAGAATGGTTATAATATGAAATAACAGCAAGATGATACCACATTCAGGTCAAGTCCAATGCCACTTTTCCCTCTACATTTATTACAAGATGTGGACTCCTAGTTAGTTTTGAGTAAATATACGCTAATGAGAACTATAAAAGCCTGTATCTGAAAACCCAGCAGATGTGTGAACTGAGTGCAAAAAAGGCAGAACAGTAAAAGGAAAAACACTCCTAAGATGTCCCAATTTCCACATTTAGAAACTAGGTCTTTAAACCATCTGTTCCCTGGGAATTTCAAAATACTGAACCTTAGTGGACACTTGTCACGGTCCTGCACTGCTTGCTTTTTTAGCACTTCTGCAGGAATAAATAAAACAAATCACAGAGAGAACTGTGTGTCACTAATAACAGTTTGAGAAAACTGCTCTGGAGAATGTTTTGCCACTATTAAAAAGGGAAATCAAAATAATCTTTACTATTTGGTGCTCTGCACCCGAACAGTGGGAGACACAGTTCAAAAATACTAACACCTAAGAGGAAGGTGGAAGCATACTTATTGGATGAAATAATCCAGTTGTATCTAACAAGGTGCTACCGAGATATACGTATATATATGTACACACACATATACACACCATTAATATATGCACACTGCTGGTAAGCAGAGGGAAGGCTCTTTCCTTGGTGTATACCCAAAACACTTGCCTACTACACATTCCCTCCAACCCACGTTTGCACGGTGGGTATGTAGGTTGAAGGGCTCTCCATTGCCCTCATCTCTCTGAACAGCTGTATTCAAAGGAAACAGGAACATGTGAAAGAGAGGGGAGACAGAAATAGACTCGCCCAGAAACAGACCACCAACCTCAGCATTCTGGGGAGGCACTAGCCGTTAAGATGCATAGAAAACCTCTGTTTCTTTGCTCTCATACTTTGCTGGTTGACTTCCCTCAAGTCACCTCCAAGAGTGCCTCTAAGCAGCTTTAGACCAGAAGTCAAAACTGCGGATACACAATTCATCTAGAAACCAGCACACAAGGTAATAACAAGCACATTATTCTGTTGTTTATGCATTACACCAATATGGTGACAATTAGTCTTGCCAAAACTGCTAGAGTCTATTTTCATAGAAAAAAAATAAGTGTTTATTTAACACGTTCATAAGAAATATAAGTAGTGGGAAGAGCACTCTCACACCAGCTTCTAATGACAAGAATTTTAGTTGAGAACTGTACCATTTCCTCAACCAGTACATGTACCTTCAAAAACTACCCCTTTAAACAGAGAAAAAGTGTATTTTTGGGGGAATGGAAGGATGGTGGGAGGAAAGGAGAGAGAGAAGGAATGATGCAGAGCCCCTACCTGTTTGTGAACCTTTGTAAGCTGTTCCAGGTTGTTCTCAAGAAAGGAAATTTTCTGCTTCTGCGCAGCACTTCCACCCCCATCATCGCTATCGAGTTCAACACTCTGCACAGGAAGAAACCAAGAGGAAGCTCAAGTCTTTTGTGACTTTAAGTTCCCAAAGGCAGAAAAGCCCTCCAGCGCCCCAAATTAAAGAGAATTTATTTTACCTGCTCATTTGATATTTAAGAGCAACATTCCCCACTACACAAAAAATACACTCTTCTTACTGAACAATTACTGGGGGATCCTGAATAGGAAAATCATAGATTTTAGCAGAGAAACCCCATTTTCCCTTTTTTTTCCCCTCTTCTGGAAGACGTTTTTATGTAATATGGGGTTTCACAACCTTAAAAAAAAGGTATAAAAACTCTTCCCCAAAACTACTCTAAAGGACTGAAAAGCATTGTGAAGCCTTTGTCTATTTATGCAGCTTCAGACTTCTTCAGAAGTTAAAAATACATTAATTTCTGCTAAATAATAATTTTGCCAGGAAGAGGCTGACTAATCACAAGCCTACAGAAAAAAACAGCCACAGCATTCAGGGTAGCGTTAGTGCAAGTTACATTGAGTAATTTCTGGTACCCATTAATATCAGCTTTGAGAGCTTTGTAACTGAGCTGAACTGGATTGGATCATTTCGCTTAACCACCAGGACTTCTCCTTAACAAATTAGGACCAAATAAAAGCTAATAAACATCACAACAATTGTAATCTTATTACTCACTATTACTGAAAAAAAGACAATATCCTTTTTAGTAACAACATGCACTAAAAGCTTCCAGCACATCACAAGAACACTATAAAAAAGATAAGACTTTGTTTTAAAAGAGTATATATAGTCTTACTTTTTTAACGCGCGTGGTAAGATCTTGGACGAACAGTTTGCGAAGGTTGTGAAGAGTCTGAAGTTCTCTTGCCTGGAACCAAAATAACAGTAACCAAAAAAAAAGGCATAAACCTTTTTAAGACGTAGTTATAGTAGCCAGTAGATAGTCTGGTGTAAAAGTTCTCCTCAGATTTGAGTCAACAATAGGTAAAAGAGCTCTGGATTCATTATCTAGCAAATGCATTAGCCTTGCTCTGAATGCTTACTCACAGGCACTTAGGATGTTTAAGTGCACTTAAGATGTTTAAGTGCTTTCTAAGTTTATGGCAAAAACCCAGGCTTTCGAAGTTTCTTTTTTTATAGGCACCAGTTTACTCCAGTCTGGGGGTGTGACACAAGAAGTGTAAACCCTGCCCCTACTCCCAGCAGGACGGAAGCAGTAATCCACGTGCAGGGAAGGAAACTATGTGGACAGGCAGTTCATGCACCCCAACCCCATATTGCACCAAAGCCATACTGAACAGAACTGTCTTTTTGAAGTTGGTAAGAGCAACCTTAGCTTTCCCGTTTTATGATTATCTACTCACAGACTGGAATTTAAATAAATTTAAATAAATGCACATCCCCAACTCTCTCAGCTCTTTCAGCCTTCCCTCACAGGACAGATGTTCCATCCCTCTGATCATTTTTGTGGCCCTCCTCTGGACCCTCTCCAACATGTCTTTATCTTTGCTGTACTGAGGACTCCAGGTGGGGTCTCACCAGATCACAGTAAAGGGACAGAATCACCTTCCTTAACACACCAGTGATGAAGACTTAGGGGGCAAAAAGCTCAATAAAGTGTAATTAAGACATACCACTGTTTCCTCCAGTCCCTTAAGATCTTCTCTTGCTTGTTCCCTTTTATCATTAAGCAGTCTAGAAAGATCACAACGTTGAATACAAATAAAAAATGTTGAAGTTGTATAAACAGAAAAGAATCAATCAACACTCAATTTGAGTAGAACATCTGCAGATGTAAGCAAACCGTACATCCATTTGCATCTGTAATTACGCTTCTGACTTTCTCACACAGAATGGCTGAGCCACCATCTCCATTTTTTGTGTCCACACATGAATTTTTTCTCTCTCATTTCCAGAAAAGGTTTTTACTCTAGCATCCAACTTATTACTAAAAAAAAATAATTCCAAAACCTCATTTCACAACTTCTTTCTTACCTGTTTCTGCTGTGCGTTAAGGAATGAGGGACTGATAAGGTATTTCATAAAATAAGATCTCTAAAAAAACTTTTTTGGCAAGTATTGAACCCACTATTGAAAAGCCTATGAGAAAAAATATGGAGCAGTCGGTAACCATTTATTAGCACTGCATGTTGGCTTTGTTACTGAAATGATCATTTCAGTGTGAATATTTCAACACAAATGCCTCTTTCCAGCACATCTCCCATAGACACATCAAGAGGTACAATATTCAAGGACACCAGATGAGAAAACTGTTGACTTACATGAGCTTTTCCAGTTTCATTTCCCTTTCCTGGTCCTCAGTTTTTAATTTATCATAATCAGCACTCAGTTTCTCTTGTTCCAATTGAAGCTTCTGATTCATACTAGAACACAAAAGAAGAAGTCAGTACAGCTCAGTCCTGAACCTCATAAACATGCATGGTAAATCTACATCTAAAAAATGGGTTTAGACAGAGGAAGGAAAAAAATGGAAAGAAATCAGGCATAAGGAATCTGAAGAAAAATATTTAAAAATATTGGAGAATTAAATTCAGTGGCTTGCTTCCTTTATCATAAAGGATGTAAAGTGTTCTTGCCATTTTTCTGTCCTGCTTCCTCATGTTTCTCATTTCCTTATTATTAGTCTTTGGCCACATAATAAATATGATGAAAGAAGGAACACTACGCATTAAGATTCCCTAGATTTTATGAACACTGACAAGAAAAAGAGTACAGGAGCAAAGAATACAATTTTTCAAGTGCTGGAGTATCTGAATAATAGAGTTACATTGTTATGTGAGGAAGAAATATTTAGAGTGTGAAAAAGATATATATTTGGGTCACCCAGACTCTCAAAGCCTGTGGCAGGACTCGTTCTTATGAGATCCCCACAAAACCTTTATATTTTAAAACCTGTTCTCTTCAAAGCTTCTCTTACCTACATTATTCTGCTTTTCTCTCCACAATTTTATGGACTTGTTAAAGCTTCATAATAAAAACCCAGGCACTATAGTTATTAAAATAATGCAAAATAATCAGAGTTGTTGGTTGAATGAATGAAAACACTACTTTCTGTAAGACACTGAAATACAGAGACATCAGTTAAAACTAATAAAAACAACCCCAAAACATCCCTACAGTATCACGGAACGGGACAGCAAAAGGAAAAGCAATAGGGCGAGTGAACATACTCTCTGATTTCATCAATTATTTTCTGCTTCTCTTCAATTTCATCCCTCAGCCTGGACAGCTGCTTCTGGTGGGCTTCCCTGTGACTCTCCATCTGCTGCTCCAGTGCCTTCTGCAGGGCACAAAACCATGAAACAGAAATCAAGTATCACAGCTAACCTTCCATGTCAGCTGAATCAACCTATCTTTCTGGATCTGAGTGAGGCTTATCAAATGATATTAATTCAGGAATCTGCCTGATACATCTTAAAACTGTACATCTCCTCATCCAAGCAGTTAATTCAGGCAGTTTTTAGCAACAGATGTACACCAATTTCTACTCATTTTCTTGAAAAAACCTACACTGTGCATACCAGGGTCTTATATCAAGTGCCAAGAATGACAGTTTTTACCACTCCTCTATTTCATGTGTTTATTCAGCAAGTAAATATATGTACAGCTATACCTGTGATGGAAGTAAAACTCATTCCCCTCTCACTCTGAATAATTGTTTATCCACAGCCATGTTATTCAAATTCTATGAATAAATATATCTCAAGTAGTAAGAAAAACTCAATGCATCTCTTTAGATTGCTAATAAAAGATTTGCATATTTTTCTCCAACTGTAAGGAATAGCTGTACAACTCTTACTAACTTTAACTTCTTATAATTGAGGTGAAAGTTGTACAGGCAGCTGACAAACTTCTATCACTATCCTTGCAAAACTGTACTTTTCTTTCAGTTTGGAACTCCATTAGAAACACAACACACACATTACTGATTAACATTTCATTGCATTCCAAAGGAAGAAGAAAATACCAGAAAACAGGTTTATATTTCATCATTATTTCTAGGAGATAGTTAGAATTCTTGACAAATTATTTAGGAAAGTGGCCTCTTTTTTTTTTAGTACCTGAATTGTATCAAGCCCAGTATCCTGATTTACCACTTAGCAAACTGACTTTCAGCAGACTTCCACTGGCAAAAAATTAGAGTAACATAGAGGTGAATCAATATAATTTTTCAATCCTATATAACAGAACTGTTCTCAACTATGTATGCAATATACTGGGTATTATAATTCAGTTCTTTGTTCGTGTGATCTAAGGAGCCCAAGCATCTCCAATTCAGCAAACACTACACTGAACCTCTCTACCCTTTGGAACTGGCTCAGCTTAAAAACTGATGCACTCTCCTCCCATGACGTTCAGACTATGACTTACTTTTTTCCATCATCTGGTCAACAACCTCAATACTAGCAGGTTCTCTGATTTCACATTGTGAAGGTCGCTCAGTTACATAAGGTCAAGTTTTCTAACTGAGACTGTCAGTTCTGACAGAAGCTGGAAGTATTTTCCAAAAGCACGCAACGGGCACAGGAAGACAAAATTACACCCTAATTATCAGCTTAATGAAGGATCTCACTGAGAAATGCCCTCTAAAATTGCAGCATGCCATACTACCTTCATCTCCTCTGCATCCTGAAGCCGGGTCAGGTGCTCTTTCTCCTTATCCTTGAAACTGACTTCATGCATCTTTTCTGTTTAAAGTTGAAAACAGTTGAGAATTAACTGCATGGTTCCAGGACATGCTATGTTGAGCCATTAAAAAAAACAAAACTCACAAAGTAAAGAGTTCCTCTTTTGCAGGGGGATCAGGGCAGACACCTTTGGAGGATCACAAACAGTCATGGTTTGCAGTACCCAAGCTGTAACCATACTGCCCAAATCCCCTTCTCCTTTACTAAGAAGACACATTTTTTTCAATTCACCCAAAACCTTTCCAACCTACTCTTGTTTCCTTATAAGCTTACTTATTGCAACCCCCCTTGCCCTTTTCACTTTCTGCTGGGAAATGGTGCATCTAGAACCAGGTCATTTCTTATGAGTGCAGTAGGAAGATCAGGACATGGAATAAAAAAACTATTCTAAAAATGTAGATGTTAAAAAGAAAGTTTTATCACCACCTGCTGCTCCTGGAGTCAGAGAAGATCCCTTGTGCAGAAATCCAGAATAATGTTAAGGCTACAAGGTCACATTGTAATTTTACATAAACCAGGACCTTAGCAATGCCACAAGAACTGCTTTTTATACACATTTTCCACATTAAATCAGAAGGGGAAAAAACAGTAGCTCTTAAAAAGAAGTTAGCTGGATCCTATATAGGAGCTAGGAAAGACAGATCTTTTACTTGATCCTAAGTGAAGCAGCTTGCTTTTGAACAGGGAAGGGCATTTGCCAGAGGGTCAACTGAAATTAGATGTATAACCAAGAATTTTAGAGAACACTTAGCAAGAATGATTGGTGCTGTCTGACTAAAGCATTTAGCTGTGTTTCGGGTTTTTTGATTTTGTTTTTAAATTTCTCACATCATTAAAGGTGAAGCTCTTGTTACTGAGTTTTTGATTCTTTTGAGAAATTAAGTTTTCTGTATTTTGTGAATGGACTAGGCTGAAAGGGATGATTCTGGTTTTATCAGAAGTGTAATTTACTACAAGGAAGTGCAGTATGTTAGATATTCTGAATCACAATTTTGTCTTCATCACAAAATACTAAATAGACAATAAAATGTTGTAGAACTACTACACATATGATACGTTAGACAATACTGAATTTTCTAAGATATAAAAGAAATGATAACTACAAGACCAAATGTTGTACCTTGAGCACGCAACTTGGCAAGCTCTTCATTGAGAGAGTCCTGTGACTCTTCCAGTTGCCTTCTCTTCTGCTCCATATTTTGCATGTAGTCTGTCAGGGACTTGATCTTTGCTTCATGCTTTAAAGACAAAGGGAATATCAATGAGATGCAAATAACACAGTTTGTTACCGAGGAATTAAGGTACTGTCCTATGTCAGAGAGGAAAAAGAGAAAGCTCTCCAAATCCAAAGCTGATGACTAGACACAGCAAAATATCTGAGAAAGAGCTAACAGAACCAAAACAGACTGCATTTTAAAAGGTCATACTCAGTAGCCCAAGAGATATACCAAATAGGACAGGTAGTAATTCCAAAACATCAGGGGAAACATCATGGGAAGCTCATGACTTGGTGTTAAACACACAGCAGTAGTTCACTAAAACCAGCTGAACACCAGGCTTTTGAAGTGGCCTCTGGATGCTTTGACTCGCAGAAGCTCAGACTGACTTGCCCCAGCCATCATGATGATTTGTTTCTTCCTAACATCCTTTTGAACTAGAAGGGCTCATGTTTAAACAGCAAACAGTGGAGAACATAGTGAAAACTCCAAAAATTGAACTAAAATTTTCTAATTTGGGGCTAAACTTAAGTGAATTATTACATCCTATTAATAAGGCCACTTAAGCAGATGTCGTTCACTTTGGCAGAGAGGAGTTGAGACCTCTGGTTTGGTGCTACTGTGAAGATCTGACTTAGGAGCAATCCCTAGCAGGAACTAAAATAGTTCATTCAGAGCCTCCTGGCATCAAGGTCTCTAGGAAGGAAAAGGTGCATGCCTGATTTGCATGATTTGGGCAGGAGGTCCTATAATAGATTCCTAAACCTGAAAAGAAATCTGTTCAACTCCCAGCTTGGCTCCAAATGTTCTTGTCCCCAGAATAGAGACTGTTGGTATGGCACACAGTGGTGATGCACCATTTTATGGATCCACTGAACACCGTATCTTTGTAATCCTGTGAAATGGCATTGCCATTGGCAGTAACAAGCCACCAGCTTTGGACTGAGTTTGCAAGTCCTCAAGACTGAGGCTTGCCAAGCTTGATCTAAGCTCTTCCTGAGCTGTCTTGCAGCTTTTATTTCATTTCTTTTCCTTTCTTTTACACCTTTTCTTTCCTTGGTGGCTTTATAGATAATGTGCATTTGCCCATTAAAAAGATTCTGAGCATACTACCACCTGGCTTCTTCTGTTTTAAACACAGACAGGCCTCAATATGCACTTAGATGCAGAACCTCCAAAATGCCAAGACAAGGTGATCATCTGCCTAACAGTATTTCTGCTTGGTTTGCTCACCATGTGAGCATGCAGTACTTGAATAATCATCTCTCAAATCCTAAACCTCCCGTCTCCTGTTTGTAAATAGGTACTGAGGACAACAGTTAGGTCATGCCTGTGACAAGCTCTGAAGTTCTCTGTGATTCAAGTGACTATAGGACACAAACACCAACCCTACAGAGGCACCTGGGCTGCCTTCCATTCATTCCTTCACCAGGTCAGCTTAAGCCAGCACCAGGGCTGAAAGAGGCTGTCCCACTGCCTGCTGCTGAAACCTTTATTTCCATCTCTGTGTTCCTGCTCCTTTCCTGCCAACAGAAGCATGTAAACAGCTGATTTGCAAGTCAAGCCTTAATCTGTGTTACCAATGCAAGTTCCCAAGGAAAGTGAGCAGCACATTTTGGCAGTATGACTTCTTTCAGTGGCCATGCCAGCCCAGAGTCTACTTGAAGACAGGATGAAAAGTATATTTTTTACTTAACATTTTTGGACAGTCAACACCCTCAGGGCTCTAGCCTCCCTTTATACTAAGAAGCATGCTTCCAGCTACAGTTTTATTAGGTAGAACTTAATAAAGACATTCAGCTGCAGGACAAGAAGCTATCCTTGCTCCAGTTTTATTCAGACTAATTGGTGGTAAATGAAATACAATAAACTGTATTGTGTTCTCCCCTTCACATGTCCACTTCAAAGCAAGTGAGCATGTCAAAACAGCTAGCCCCTTTGCATGCAGGAGGCTGCGGAAAGCACCACTGATTGTAACCGCTATCCCCTGTAAAGCCATCCTACCACGTGAATGTATTGCTACCTAGTTATTTTGGTAGCATGCTAATAGACCAGATACAGGGGGCTCTCCAAATGTTTTGACAGTGGACCAAACAATCACTGCTTCCTTTCTCAGTCTGTTTTTTAGGGAAGGTATAAGATAGAAATTCATGCTGAGGAAATCACTCAAGCTGGATTTTCAGTATTATGCCATAGAACACATTTTGAGATCTACAGCAGAACATGATCTTGCCACAGAATGTGCTGAAAAACATTGTGGGGGAGGAACAGGAGAAGACAGAAAAACCCAACAAAACAGACAAGAGAAATACCACTCTGCTTCTTGAAGTCTCATTTCCCACTCTTGGCACACATATTTCTTGAGGAAGAAGGCTGAGAAAGTAATCAAATTTTGCTGCAAAGGGATAAGGAAGGAGCAAACATACTTGTGAAATGAGCAGCTGGCAAGCTGCAAGCTCTCTCTCGCTGGCATTCATCTTCCTGTTGGAGTCTATCTGGGCACTCTCCAACTGCTTGCTGCGGTTCACCAGAGACTTCACCTCAGACTTCATCTTGCTGATGTAAAGTCGTGCCATGGTGAACTCCTCCTCAATCACCCCATTCACATCTGCTAACTAAACACAGAGAAGATTGCAGTCTTGAATGTCTGGTTCTTAGAGGTAAGTCAACCCAAAGCAGTCTTCCTGCTGTGAAACTCTTGTCTAGAGCTAGGAAGCTTCTGTGAAAGCACAGCAGCCCTCAAGGAGTACCCATGGACCTTCAGGTCACCTTTAAACATGTTAAACCACTGTTTCTTACAATCTCATCGATAAGCCTCAAAAGTGAGAGATTAAGGCTCATGCTCACAGCATGCTTCATCAGCTTAGTGGTTCAACATCTAAAGCAATCAAGCTCACCATCATGGCAAGAGCTTATTTTGGAGAAACCTTCTCATGTCACCAGCACAGGAAATTTTCCTTTTTTCAAACTGTTAAAAGACAAAAAACATTTTCAAAGTACTCCTTAAAGAACTTCCCCCTTGAAGGATTGTGCTTCTTCAATATAGAGCTGTAAGACAGACATGGGTCTCGAAATCTCACCTGGCAAGAGAAAAGTAATCGCTCTCATCTCTAAATATGAGTATTACTCTATTTATACATCATTTCCTTCCCTGGCTTTAATATGGTGCCTTTTATTTGTATGTCTTTCTCTTAATTTTTCTCCAACTACTTAATTCATGTAACCCACTGACAAGCTGTGAAGGTTCTACTTGAGCAAACATACGGCTGGCAACTTCATTTGCTTTTTGCCTTTTTCTGAGCACTGCCAAGGGGAAGGTAACACGTGCTGTATCTTCTCCCAAAAGCCTAAAAAATGCAACTGCTTCCAAAACTCTCAGTCTGGTCTGAAATTAGACACACTTTGAGAAGATGCTAATTGCCAACAATTTGAAATTATTCTTCTAAAAGATTCTCAATCTGTCCTTATTTACACTGACAGCTGTCCTCCAAAGTGCTGACATCTTAGTTACTATAAAAATTTGTATCAAACAGCCGCTGCCTCCAGTTTCAAAGATCTCCTCTTACAGTTCCTACTACAATGGCCACCAGAGGTTGCTGTAGCATCTAGCAAAGTCTGGTCTTGCGGTCCTGTTGTCTGCATAACCATGTCAGATGACAGGGATACTGTCCTCTGCAGTTAAGTGCAAGCTGGGGCATCTGTTGACTTAAGGGGGCTTTAGCAGGATATCAACAACTCCCAGAGTCAACTCAAAACACTCCAGCCACACATACTCTGTTTTAGGTTTGAATATTCAGGAAAGTTCATTGCTCAAAAACTGTGAACTAAAAGCAGGAGAATGAAGTACATTGCAAAGAATTCATATACATGGTGAAAATGAATTTCTTAATCCAGTTTTAGCAATTGCTTTTTCACATGGTTTTAAATGGAGAGATAAGATTCCATTAACATCACCAGGAACATTTTTCTGGCCATTAAATGTTTCCATCAGAGATGTGCCATTTAGCAATAAACACACAAGTATCTTCCGTGAGACTCAGCATTTTGCTCATATGCAACAGGAGGAGTGTGACAGAGTAGCCACCTCCTTTACCGTATCTGTAAACTCAGGAGCCAGACAGAAATCAAATTTCAAAGTGAAACTGGACAAAATTTGCTCCATCTCTCAGCATGTTCAGATGCCAAGGTTTCTGTCACTTCAGCACCTTCAATCCTGTTCTTACCGTCTTACTTCAGAGGAAAAGGATCCTCTGCAACTTTTCCTCTGTAAAGGTCATTAGTCAATATACAAAAGTTAAGTTGGTCTTACTGTCATGTAATTATTTATGGGGTATCTAGCACAAATTTACCAGTGCTGGAAATCAGTAATTCTAAAGCATCTTCTGTTCAGAAACACACACAGAACTGTGGGCTCCTTGATAAAGCCAGCCAGTGTTGAAAGGCTGTAAGCACCAGAATGCAGAAAGCATAATTTGTGTGCAGCTGTTTCGATTCAGGTGCCCTGAAGAGCTGTCAGTACAGACCTCTGGCTTTGGGAACTGTTCACCTTCAGCTACACAACAGTTTTAGGACAAGCTTCAAATAAAAAGACAGCCAGCCAAAAGCCAAATCTCACCAATAAAGATCCTTCAGGTTCTGGGAATACTGGGTCATGCCAGTTAACGAAGGAATAAGGCTATATGTGTACAGTCTTGGGGGGAACTCAGTTCCCTGCATTAATAAATGCATAAACACACGGATAGGCTGCATTAGTCTGACCCCAACCATGGAGCTGGGAATAGAAGTGCCAACAGTGTGCACAGACACTGACTGACCATCTCTGACCCAGACAAAGACCTCTTCAGTATTTTACTCTGATTCTAGCCATGATTTAACAGCAATGTCCTGGGAGAATAACATGTATCACATGTATTCCACACCAAGTATTTTCATACTGCAGGATGTGGGTGGGGCAAGCAATAAAGATAGCCAACTTACTGTTTTAACGTCGTTAGTACCAATGATACCTCCAATCTCTCCCAGGTCCTTAAGCAGCAAGTTCAAGATTTCTGTAGCTCTTTTCTTCTGATGGTTACTGAGCTCCTGCAACTGTCCCAGTTCCCTCTGGGTCGCTGTCAGGGCATTCTGAAACAGTTTAAGAGCAAAAATTACCCTCACCCCAGCACACTGGGCATCAGTTCTTGTGTGATAACCAGGTAACAGCATGATGTCTTGTACATTCCTGAATGTGCCTACTAGCTCCATGTACTGTCACGTACAATTCTACCTTGCCATAATCCACTTTTGCAACTCACTTGCTAACAAGGCTACTTTAGATCTATTAAATGTAGTAAATCCGCTAAGAATCTTATTTGCATAATACATGTCAAAGAAGGTTAATCACAGAGAAACAGGTATAGAAGGATATAAAATTTGATTTTTTTCAAATGGATTTCATAGTAATCTGTTTTACTGAAGTGGGTAACTAAGCTTTCCATGAAAACAGACCTGTTACTCAGCATGCGTAATGAATTAAGGAACATGGATGTATTAAGCTAGTCAGCGAACTTTAATTTTTCTCATATTAGATTTTTCCTTAAGTTCAGTATAAATCATCTGAAAAAAGCTGACTTTTTTCCTGACTCACTCCCCAAGATCCCCTGACTCCATATAAAATCCCTGCTCCGCAGCACAGAGTCCAGAAAAACACAAAATGCTGCAATTTGCATAAATCAGATTTTCACATCTTTCTTGGCATAATACAGTTTTTAAATACCCTAAACACAGAATGGCCAGTGCTCGCATTCAGTTCAGCTACCTCTATGGTGTGCAAAACAGAGAGGTTGCAAGAGAGACACAATCTGCCACCAGCTCCCATAAAGTAGCTTCTGAATTACCCTATTTTTTTAGTGAGATAGAAGGGAGAGGTCAGCCTCTGCAAATAATGGATCTTTTATCAGCTTCCCTGTTACTTCCAATTTTTAAACTACGTAACATGCTTGACAGCAGTATCTGAAAGATTCCTGAGACAGCAAAGGCTAGCAATTTTCTGGGAAACCCTATGGAAATCTTTAGGGGAGGTAAAGAGTTAGGGGGTGAGAAGGGAACCAGCACTATAAACTGCTTGCTCTTACACTCTTCTGTGCCAGCTCATCAGCCAGCTGCTCATTGGCCCTTGTTTTATCCTCCACTTCTTGGGATTTCTGGTCATAATTGACAGCTAATTCTTCCAGGGCTTGAAGGACCTCTTTTACTTCATCTTTTGCTGCTTCATTCTCAATCTGAAGACGGGTCAGCTCCTCTTGAATTTTCTCATAATCTCTCCTGGTGGAGGCCAAAAGCTGGAAACCAGATACCACAGAAGCATTAAGTCACCCACAAACTCATTCAAAAGACAACACTGAAAAGGGCAAAACCAGACAGAAAGCGTGAGCACACAAGCATGTGTGCAAGAGAGAGAAAGCACAGGAGAAGAAATCCTGCTACTCTACCAGATATAGCACCAGTTTCAGCATAAATGTATTTAAAGGAAGCAAAAAAGGCTCTGAACTTCAATAAAAAGAAAAATCTTAATCAAATGCTATTTGGACAAGAGACTGAGGTAGAGAAACTTGTTTTAAACAGAATCACAGCTCCAAGTAATTTTTTTGCCCTCAATCCAATGCTGCAGCTAGGACTAAAAAGTACCAAAGTAAAATGTTCATAGACCCATAACTTTGAACTGAACCAAGTAAAGGGCTCTCTGAGGCAGCCTCAAAGATCTTGTGGCATTACAGAATTATTTTGATAAGCAAACCTATGATGTTTTTTCTTAGTTATCATCTGAAGCCTGATGCTGAAGACAGATAAACTGCTTGTATTTGCTGAGGCACAATATTACCTAAAGAAGGATATACAGACTTCACCCATGCTAGTATTTCCAATTTGTAAAATGTATTACATTTACTATTTGCATCCTATGGAAAGAGATGCTGAAGTTTCAGTAACAGTGCTGATTGTAAGGAATCAGTTGCATGGTCCTCTCCCTTGCCCTTGCACCACTCCATCTTCATTCAGATGTTAAAGTCTTGAAAAGTAAGCTATCAGGTTATTAGCAAAAAGCCAGACTCAACTGCAGTCATGTACTGCAGAATGATGTGAAAATAAATAAAAGGTGCTACCCAACATTTATTGCTGATACTGTACTTTCAAGAATTGTAAAAAAATTGGCACTTAACATTACTTAAAAATGTAAAGTATAGAAAAATAATACAAAACTAGTGCATGAGATACAAGAAGGCATTCATGCTCATCCTAACAGCAAAGTTTGAATATTCATTCGCAGAACTCGCTTATTTCCAAGCCTTCCCCTGTACATACTAGTATAACATTACTGTATTGCAGCTTTCTTGGACAGTAGAACACAACCTGCGCTACTGAATTGTGCTGGGTGGACTTCTCCTGACCTGTCCCACCACTGCTCACTGCCTCCCAGATCATGAAGAAATTGAGTGTGAGACCCCAATCAAAACAGAAGTGTCTCTCTAAAACAGACCACCTAAAAGGAGAATGTCAGAGAAGACATCGCTTTTTTTTTTGGCTCAGAGTGCTAATGGAAAATAGGAAACCAACCAGGCAGCTTCAGACACTGGCATGTGCCCAAAGTGGTAAAGAGAGGATTCAGATGTAAGGGAAATTTATCTCACTGGTAATGCTGCAGCCTCAGAAGTGCACTCACATTATGGAAAAACCCACTGAATTGCCAAAGCCAGATGGCATGTAAATATTTAAACAACAAAATAGCTTAAAATAATCTTTCTACTAAACACAGATGGAACTATTATTTACATTTACTTAAGAAATTTACTGTGTGAATATTACTGCGACTTCAAGTAAAGGCAAGTGTTATGTATCACCTAGAGCATAAACACAGCTCCCCAGAAGATTCTTGTTTATATAATGTGGAAAAATATACCAAGATTTTAAAAGGCTATTAATAACACATACCAATCAGTTCTAAGCAAAGGGAAGGAGATGACTGCAGTACTTTGCTGATCTGTTCATAGCATGCAAGATGTAAGGGTGGAAGATTCAGAATCCCCCCCCCAAAGCACACACCCTAAGAAGCAGCCAATGAAAAGGTACTAAAGACACAAGAATCAACGTAATGCCATCTGCAGTAGTCCTCTATATTTATAATTAACCTGCTGGCTTAATCAAGCATGAAAAGTACTCTAGTTAATTAGGGGGAAGCAGAGAGAGGCAGCTGCTCTGCAGCTAATGTATAATGGAGCTAATCACAGCTCTAAGAGAGAACAGGTACATCGCTCCAACAGTGCTTACTCACAAAAGACAAAACCTTGAAAAATTAATTGAATTCCTTTAAAGAAAAAACCAAAAATGTCACATTAGCTTTCAAAGGTAAGAGATGGACATGCTTCTTGGATGAACCATCTAAACCTTCTGTACAAGCTGTGCAACATCAGCTGCAGAGACTTCAGTAAGTCAGCAAAGCTAGATTAGAATATGTGCAAAAAAGGGGAACAAATGGTCTATAAAGTAAGGATTAGAGGCCTCCAAAAACATGAGTCATCTTCCAGATGTAATACTGAGTATGGAAAACAGAAGGTGGGGAATAAGCCGGTGTATAGCATGCTTCCAAATATCTAACACAAATAAAGCAATGCACATCACCCAAAAAATCAGACATAAAAAAATAAGACACAAGAAAAACTGTGAGGGGAAAATAAGCTTTAGATGAGAACACTGATGTAAAAAAGACGGTAGAAGTGAGATGGTGTAAATAACTTGTCAGAAAATAACGTTGCTGGGAATGCATAGAATTCTGTTACATGTGTATAGCCATAACATGGGTAGCACAATCAAGAAAGTTGTGGCAAGTGAAAGAAGAATTTAACCATGGACTAAAATTCCTGCAGTGAGGACAAGTCCTCAAAGGTGGCAGGTAAGTCATGACTGATGAGTAACAGACATTTTTGTATGTTGTTCTCTCCCTGTTAAGGAGCTAAACCTTGGAAACCTTCTAGATGGTTTCAATAAGGATTGATACATGGACAGAATAATTCTCTTCAATTACAAGAGAGGTTTCACACCCCAAAAAAGCAGCCAGCATAATGCTGTACGCCAAGTGAAGTGGCTCAGGCAGCTACGATAGGCACTCTCCTAAAGAATCAAGGCAATGTTTTGTGCAAAGAGAGACCAAAGTTTTGGAACACTAATGATGGGTGAACACCAGGATTGTATTTCTTGGTCAGAATAGTGCAAGGGTCTCATAAGAAAAATGTAAGGGACTTTTTGTTTGGTGGCGGGTTTTTAAGTTTTTTACCTCCTCTTGATCCAACATTTGTTGCTTTAGCTTTTCAGCCAACTGGCTCTGCTGGTTGATTTCATCATCCTGCAATGAAAGAGGGTTGGAGATTTTTAGTTTCTTTTCACAGTTCTTGTTTGGTCACTTCTGTTTCTCCTTTTTAGAAAAGAAGGAGCAATAACACCATAGCAAACCTTCTGCACGTTCCGGTGGTATGAGAGGAGAAAAATATGCATACACAGAGATACAAAGTAAAAGCAATGCATACATACAGTTGTCCCTAGTACATACCTAAGCAGAAGTGTCCCTGATGAATAAACAAGATACTGAAGTGACCAGAGTTGGACCTTATAACTTTGACAACATACATGATGTTTTATAGATGTAAATATATACAGATGTACAAATACATATACAGTCTCTCTCCCACTTACTCTATCCCCATATTTTAGCTAAAGAGAGATCATCAGGGACAGACTACAACTTACAGCTAGCTCCGAAATGCATTCATGAACTGCATTAATACTCAAAACACCACACACAACTTGGAGCACTCAGCTGCAGAATACACATTTTTCCTACTCCCACCACAGCCCTTGAAGGAAATACTGCCAGGTAATGCACAGCCAGGCATCCAATTCTACTGGCATTTCAACTTCTTTAAGACAGCATCCTCATGGGTAGGAACTGATCTTAAATACAGACAAGAAGCGATGATGAACAGTTCTGTACAAGTCCTTTCTCCAGAACACCAGAGGAGGCACATCGAGCACAGCCTCTGACCAAGTCCATCTCTGTTCTTGTAATGGATATCCTTCTCTAAAGGAACTTACCAAAGATAAATGGTTGCTTTTTACCTTATCACAGTCAATTCTTATTTTGCGTTTCACTGACAAGCATGCAAATAGATTTATTCTGACAGCAAATACCCCAACTGAAGTGGCTCGGGCAGCTGCGACAGGCACCCTCCTAGAGAGTCACAGCAGTGTTTTGCGCAATAAAAGACCAAATACAGCTATTAAGTAGAATATATTGACTCAGTTGCTAATACTAAAATAGACCCAGATTCAATATAAGATTGGTCTGCATTGTAGCAAGTTATAAATACCAGTTTTTTGGTTTTGTTTGGGGGATCAAATACCTCATTTCCTATAGTACTGCAGTAATGCACTGAATTATGCTTCCCATGTTTTCTAGGGTAAAATTCAAAGCTGCTACCAGTTCCCTCAAGAACAATTCAGTGGGCTTTGCTACTTTTGATAAGGGAAAGTGAAAGAATGACTGACTTCTTTTTCTAATCAATACATAAAAGCTAAAGACAGCTACCAGCAATGTATTCACCACCGCAGAAAAGCTGTCATTTCTTGAAGAGTTTAACTGATATTTTGAATGCCATCAACATACTGCTGTGTGCCACTGGACTGTGCACAGAAACCTCATGTATGTCAGAGTTAAGGCTTAAACACAACTATTCACTCACTGCCTTGGTATTCAGGAACAGCTAAACTTTAATATTAACATTATGAGGAAACAGTGGGCTTTTCTTTCTGATATTTTCTTGCTAACTACAATTGAAAGTTAAAATCAAGTTTTGAGTTCATATGGTTAAAGCTATGCTGAAAACTTTTGCTAGATAGCCTTTTACACTGTTCTTATCCATGATGGGTAATGGTTTTAGTATGCCTTTCCCCCCCTTATCGTCACACAAGCCAAAACTGTTAATGGCAAATGCTCAGTAAACATATTGCCGATAGCTTTAAGTGCCAATGACGTATTTCAAGCTAAATAAATAAATAAATAGATAAATAAATAAATAAATAAGCCACTTGTGCTCCAGGCATTGTTCACAGCTAGAACAATAAGAACAAGAGACTCAAGGGATAGTTATATATTTTCATTAAAATTCTAATACATAATAAACATATAAGAGACAGTCTGCCTTTTTTCTTTCTCCTGTGCCTTCAAGGTGACATTGCAGTTTGCTGAGGGATTTTACAAAAATTGCTGAGGAAAAGGAGCACTGAAAAGCCTGTACTGAGCCCTTAAAAATTAAAAGCAAACTTGGCTCGATTTTATGAAGAATATCCCAAATCTATCTGCAGAGTGAACGCAGGCAGATAGCTGACACGATAGGACAAAATCCAGTTTTACGCAACGACAGTGTTCTGAGCTCTGGGACATTTTCCATGTTGTGGTGTTCAAGAAATACAGAGAGACACCCACCCAGTTTGGGCAAGTTTTCCATTTACACATAGTGAATGGAGTCAAACCAAATATTCGCACCTTATCATCCAGCTGTCTGTAGAGACTGGCAATCTCATCATCATATTTCTGCTTCTCCTCTGTCGAGATGCTGGCAACAACTGGTGTGATGTTGTCAATGATAGGGGTGTTATCACAAGGCTCTAGGTTTTTCTGGTCCTTTGCACTGATCTGTTCATCTTCAGGCACAGCTTCTCCTGAGGGCACACAATCCATGGTCATTACAATTCAAAAGAGAGGATTGCCCAAAACCATAGACATGCTAGGATGGTCCTGCACAGTTGTTAATGGGACTCAGCAAAGCCAAGAAGGGTTGTATCCTGCTGTGTGAGGCAGGGTAACTGCCATGCATACCAATCACAGGCAAAAGCAGGTGTGGAAAGAAGGCCATACTCCTTAAAAAGATGACCTCCACAGACAGAAATATATTATGCAAAATGCAGCAACACTTTCGAATGGCTGCCTAACACCTAACTCCTGGCTCCCCTTTCACTCAAGCCCTCAGTCCGTGAGGCTAATCCCACCTATAAACATAAGTGTAAATAAGGAGGAAAAAATTCTGACTTTCAGCCTAAAGGTTACTGGCAATTAAATGCCTCTCCCTCTCCAGATTTCCAACTGCCTTATCAGCTCTCCCTCTCCCCATCATGAACTGCTAGAGCACCAGGACAACAAAGAAGAGAGATGCATTTAAAATGATACCCACCTTCTGCCTTGTCACATCAATAATTAAAGTGCATACACCAATTTTCAGATGTTGCCTCTGCATACCGGACAGGATGTTCTCTCTACACATTTTCTTTCAAATTCATTTTCTTCGAGGAATATTTTCTTTGGTAACATTGGTTCATTGCAATTATGAGCCTGCTGCAGTTCAGTGAAGAGGGACAGGCTGGGCACTCATGCCAGAAATTGAATCTACTGTCATTAGAGTCCGGTAAGAGACTCTGCAAGCCACTGAATGCTGCATGCATTGCTCAAGGTGTGGGAAGGTTACATCCAACCCTTCTGTACAAACAGGTTTTTTTCCTTTTCTATTGAGGGCTACAGTATTTTAGTCCCATAAATCTTTACTAACCATTCCTCTTGCCAAAACAGAGTAGGCACTATTTATCTTACTGGCAGGGAAACAAGTACACAGGACAAATATATCACAAAACAGAAATGCAGACTCATTCAAGCCCCAAAACAAAACAAAACGGGGCATGAAAGAGCATGACCAACTAATGAAAAAGGTACTTTTTTCAAGCATAACGCATGCAAAAGAGTAATTTGAAATCAAACACCAAAACCTCTATAGAAGTACTTAAATCAAAACATTTTGCCCTACTGCTAGCGGCTTGATCATGTATCTTATTATTAATGAGAAAAATGTAAACTGATTTTTCATTGTTGCATTTCACTAGAGCAGACTAGGAAAGGTGGGCTTGGTCAGATCATGGGACCTTGCATACATGGCAACACTCCTCAGGCTCCAGAGAATCCATCAGTAGCCTCTGAAAATTGATGTTTAGATTTTTATTCTTTGGATAAGAATAACCTCCTATGTGTAAAACACAGACCAAATTGTGCATTTGGATATGAGGCTCTGAAATCCTGCTCCCGTGAGAACACATTTTCTGCTGCAATTTTTTTTTGCATATTATTTTCTGAATTTATAGACTAAACTATACCAGTAGAATATTTATACATCTGTCCTGCCATTTATATTCAAGATGCAATTTCTGTGACACTTCCATTTGTAAAAAGCCTCCTTTGACAGAATATCTTTCCAAATGACACTACTGCAGAAGGTCAGGCAGGAAATCAATAGTATTTTGAATGCATTGAATGCATTGGCTGGGTAATGCCAGTGAGAAAAGCAGGACAGACAGAGGGGATGAGAAAGTGTGTATGTTTAAACAAAACAATAGAAACAGCGTGTTGTAAGTCTCATTTAGACAGCATATATACAGGATCTATACAGGGCTTTCTAAAAAAAAAATAAACACAACAAAACCAAATAACCGTAAACCAAACCACCCTGTTTCTAGAACAGGAAGGAAATTAAAGTCATCACATTTAGCAAACACAGAATGAAATACACAGAACATGAGCGGGTTATAAATCCCCAGCACTCCTCAACACCAAGAGCAGACTGATCGTCTCCATAGCAATTGCACTATGCTGATAAGGGAAATATTCCCAGTGCTGAAGTCTCCAGAGAAAGACACAGAGTGCAAGCATTAGGTAACAATCTCATCTGAAAGGCAAGTAAACACCACAGTTTGCTGAAGGAGGAAGCAATTTTTGCACCCATAAAGGTCAGGTTTTCTCTTTTAAGTAGTGATTTCACCCAGGATGTTCAAAACCAGACTTGACTACAAAACAAAATGTAACTAATAATTAAATCACAGATCTGTTCTTGCTTTAGATACTTCACTTTTGCAAGAGTTACATGCTATTGACACATCAACATACAGAGCCTGGATGACAAGAAATTCACAACATAAAAATGACTCCAAAGCACCAGTATTTCACTGCTGAGGGTTTATTGAGATTGCAGGGTGCAAGGGGGATGCAGGGTAGTTTTCTTTGGGTGGGGCAGTTGCTGTTGGTTTGGAGTTTGCTTTTCTTATTTTGTAATGTGTGGAATAATAAATAAAAGTAAGGATGGTTTGCTAAAATTATTTGTCAGCATGTCAGATTAAATAACAATTATTCAATTTTTATACATGCGTAAAAATCTTCTTCCTCTATCACACTATACTTGATCTCACAACCTACCCTGAACAGTCTATGTTTCTAAAAAGAAAAGTGGCTGCTCTCAACATAAATTTCACTTAAAAGCTGCAGAAAAAGACAAATGTGATTCTTCTAACCAGATCACTCTCCTAATTGTTGTACTAATTACTCTAATGTTAAACTCAATTATAAAAAAACCCCAAGATCTAGTAACCTTAAAAACATAGCAGAACTGATTCTCATACCTGAGGAACAGAGTTTCTTTAAAAGAAAACTAAATATAATGGCATTTTACCTTTTCTTTATTAATATTACTAACATTATTAAAAATTATTGATGTCTTCCTGTATTCTCTACATCTGATATCATGCTAATTTTGGCATTTAAAATTATATCTTCTCTAAATGTCTTCTGCTGGTTTATTTGGTATTTGCTTCTTCACCTTTCAGTTACTATGAAGCGTGAGCAACAACTCTGAATGGTGAACTTAGTATGACACTTGTGATTTGAGGCAAGATTTTAACATATGTAACTTAAAAATGCAAATATATATATATATATATATGCATTCCCATTTTCTGGTACCTACCATTTCTCCACCTGTTCAGCTCCAGCTCTAGATGCTGGATAACATTCTTTAAACTCTTGTTTTTGTCTTTTTCCTTCTCATACTTTTTCTTCCACTCCTCTGCAGTTAGCTCCAGATTCACAGAGACCGTGTTCTTGATCGTCTTAGCTCTGTACAACAAAACCAGTTGTCAGTTGCTCTGCAACTTTTATCTCAATACAACAGTAAGGATTCAGAATTTTTTCTGAAACACAAAGGAACTACTAAACGTTTTCAGTTTTCTGAACTGCAGCGCCACAATTCCATTTTTTCTCAAACCCTGAGTATCATTAGTCCTGGAAGCCTCAATAGAAATTATCAAAATCCAGCAACCACTGACTTAGAGCAAACAAGTATCTGCCTTTTCAGATTTCTCCAAAAATGGAAGCTCTGGAAACAGTTCTTGGATCAAGGACAAAATCAAGTCCTGTCATTACTGTCTGCTAGGTAAGCTACCACCTTGCAGCTTCTTCTGACCTGAGACCCACAGTAGAGTATCTATCAATGTTCATCCACAGTCTCATCCCATCTCTTAACAACCACCCATTGAACTCCACCAACAAAACTCAGCCGTATTTTCAGCACCACAGCATGAGGGATGTCAACACAGTAAAGCAGAGATACAGAAACTCATCATTCTTGAAAGCCAAACAGTGCTTTGAAATACATTTTTCAGGGTGGAAGGAGGAGAACTGCTGTCACCACCAGGTAACTCAGTTACTGGCTGAGGAAAGTTCTCACTGGGGAGGAAGCCTGAACTTGTGTATGTGCCACTTCAGACTGGTTCATGAGTTACTGCCTCTCTAGGCAAAAATATCACAAAATGTAAACCGTTCTAACCATGACCTCCACCACTTTACTACTGTGAAAGTGCTTAGCTTCAACTGAAGCTAAACAATATCAGAGATGCAAAGCAAGCAGGAAAAAAAAAAAAAAAGTGCAGAACCTACTCTAGGAAATCTACATCTAAAAAGAAAAACCAAACAAATCGGTATGAATTAAGAAAACTTTGGATCTTTGCCCTTCACTGCTCTGAGTCCCTCCAAATGACTCCCACGTTATTGAATAAAATACAGGCTAAGTAAAGGAATAACAGACAAACCTCCCATTAGTTTGTAAAGCATAGGCTGAAACACCAGTGTAAGAAACTACATCTGGGAATGGGCTATGGATGCACTGGCTAACTCTCCTCTGGGGCAAGCATGTGCTCTTAATTACGTTGTTCACAGCTCCATTTACTGATTCTAAAGCATCCTTTAAATGTGGCCAATCACTAAAAGTCCTGAAAGTTTGTTTTGTCAGCAAGAAAACACTCCTGTATTTGTGCCCCATACTGCACTCCACTGATACGCACTATGTGGCAAGCAAGAGTTTTATTACCTTAGAAATATTTTAACTCTAAAGATAATGGTTAGCTTTTACATACTGTCCCTGCCAAAAGCATGGCTCAAGTTTCCACTCCTTTAACTGGGGGTAGGGGGGGAAATGCCACACCATAAAGTTTATCAACTGCATTACCCTTTGATGGATAAAGTACTTACTGGCAACTACAACTTAATATAAAACCACAAGAAAAGATGGATCAGAAAGAGAAGAAACTGACTCACTTGTAACAGAGGAACACATGCACATGTTGATCAGTACAAGTGGGCTTGTGAAGATTAATTTTACTTCTGACACTTATTTTAATGGTGATATAATTCTTTTTTGCTAGGGAAAATGGAAGACCCAGTAATCACCCATGACTCATGTACCTTCCCTTTAATGTTATTCAGGTCCTTAATACTGTCACATCAGAAAAATGAAACGCCACAACCAAAGAGCATGTAAAAGAAACCACTTCCTGTAGACAGCAATATTTCTATCCAAAAAATGACAACCCTGTGTATGTATAGTATGTGCATTGCTCTTCAGTCTAGTGCATCACCTGTCCTCCTACTTGTGTTTCCTTTCCTACAATTAAATGCTCTCCACAAGGAACTCATGTTTTAGCCCAATTGTACAGCTTTTAAACAAAGAAAAACCCCACAATAAACCCCAACCAAGCACTCTCACAAAGTATTTAGTTGTTTTCCTAGTTCTTTCAGCTGATATCATAGTCCTCAGTAAAGAACATTTCATAGAATCATTTCAAACATGCTTCTGTCTGTAGAAAAGTGTTAGTCATGTCACATCACTGCCAGGTGTGCAGAATCGGTCTGAAAATTATTTTGCCCCAAACAGGAAGGCAAGTTTTACCTATTACTGAAAAAAGAAACTGAGAGAAATGTAAGCTGAAATAACATGGAAACTGGACTTCCCCTGCACACACTGCTTCAAGTACTCAAGCATACAACTTCCAGAGATCCTGGAGCACTACAGAGCAAAACAAAACACTTTTAATTTAGATTTTAAAATAAAATAATTTTTAAAAAGCTCCATTACCTTTTAATCGCCTTAATGTGAACTATTCTATTTTACTGCTTACATTACTTTTTACTTCAAACTAGACCCTACAGATAGTTCAGCATAACAGCAAGAAGACTGAAAACTAACACAGTACCTACTCATCTATTTAAAATTAATTGTTCCTGTCGCTGCATTACTGCCCTGGATCCTTATCCAGAATGAATCAGCAGGACCTTTGTGGCTGCTCTTTAGGTCTACAGAGGTGCAAGACTCACATTTACCTGACATCACCTGCAGTCAGAAAATTGTACCTGGGGAGGTTTAAACTGAGGTTTAAACTATTAAGACATTTACCATCAACAAAAACAGTGCAACTCATACTTCAGAATTGTTATTACTCTTTATTTAATTCCTGCATTTTAATGTTTGCATTTTCTCAAAATTTCTGTAACACATATTACAGTGTACAAGATTTCAGTAAAAGCTTACATCTTTAATAACTTAAATTCACGTTCAGCATACAATGCTGAATTAAAACTGCTTAGCAACGTTTAACCTGATTATGTTAATGACCACTTCCTCCTTTTAAATCCCTTTTTCATAAAACCTTACTGCAGTGACCTGCAAAGTTCCCTTTGGAAAGTTTTTCCTGCATGCTGCTTTTTAAGTGAGTAGCTTACAGTTCTACAGTAAATGAAGGAAACACTGTAGAGGAAGCAGAGATCACAGAATTTCAAGCTTTTTGCAGTTACCTTGCTTGCAGCACACCTTTCACAAAGCCCAGCAGCAGATGACAAGGACAAATTAATATACTGGCTCTGGCAATGCCAGATGGAGAGCATGTTGCAGAACTGTCCTTCAGCCCTAACCCATACTAATCCGCAACTCACCATTAAGAGGGACTGCAGCCAAAGGCAGCTATTGTCCTGCCATTTCTATGTACTCTTACATGAACACGATAAAGAGATCATCTTCCCTCATGAAAATCTAAGGAAAGCTCACATTAAAGGATAAAAGTAGGGCAATGAATTAATAGAAGATTGTCAGATTAATTTTTTATTTGTGAACTTACTTTCCAAAATAAAATGCTTCTTAACAGTGTGGGCTTCAATACAAAAAATTATGTATGGTAGAAAAACAACCCATTTTCAGAGTAATTCACTGTATTGTACAAACTGCTAAATAAGTGCTATTTCAAACAATCATAATTTGCTAGTATTTTTTTCTGCTATTACACAAATAAACTGAAATGAGCAATTTTCCAAGGTACCAGAGTTCTCCTCAATTACAACAAAAGCAGTAACTGTGTAATGAGCCTGACCTATTTTTGCAAGCTTTCCAAATATTTTTGCAAAAATTAAAAAAATAAATATTAAAATTATATACTTTAGAATGTATATAATATATATAATCAATACATTATATTAAAATTTAGAATATATAGTATTATAAAATATAAATATCAATATTTTTGTAAGCTTTTCCAAACGGAATACATTTATTTCATATGGCTACTGCAAACAAACACATACAGAAGAGAGATTTTCTTTCTGGATACTTCCATACTTACTCTGTCCTTGCTTTTATCTGAGGCCTTGTCCTAAACTGTTAAGATCCTTCTAATATAAAAATGTCCATGAATATAAAAATGTCCGTGAACTATCATGGACATCTATCAAAGTTGTGAACATCACACAGAGCCCAGAGTCTTCATTTTTCTTACCAGTAAAAAATGTTTTTTTACAGTCATAACAATAATCCCTGAAATGCCATTCAAGAAGAAAACACCTCTTAAAAGCATCAAGAGCAGTATCAGATAAGGCAAACCTGAACATTTTCCACTGAGTTAGCCAACAGAAAACTGCCTAATACCATTATCTTCCCCATACAATTTCAAAGGACTATGATAACACTGTATTTTCTGCAAGAAAAATTACCAGAGCTTGTAAGTAGTGCAGCTGCAGGCCAACATTAACATTTATTTATCTGGTACCACAGGGAATGAAGAGACAGTTTTCTCAAGTTCTACAGTACTATTTTGTAACAGCTCCAGAAACATAACCTCGCTATTTTAAACTGCCTACTCATCTCACTCCCCTCAGCTGGCTTGGAACATGTGGAAGAGCCCACGCAAGTGTCATCCGGCCTAACGCCTAGTAGGACTCACCGCTGCCCAAACATCAGGGTTGACTTTGTTTCTGCTTCATTGAACACAGAAGGAGAACAGCATATAACAATAGTAGTTCTGCAGTTGCCACCAAGGGAATCCTGAAGTATTCGGGTCATTTTGCTGTCTCGGTATGGAACATGGGTTTTCTAATTAAATATAAGTAAGAGACAAGAACAATGTTTTAAAATAATGATACCGTAATGAGAGAGAACATGAGTCAACAATGACAGGTTTAATGGACTTGAAGTATACAATCCTGAAGAGTAATTGTTTTGACTGTGCTAAGATCGGATAACCACTCAAGTGAAATTCAAGAAAATCAGTTCCTTATCTTTAGCAGAATAGCAAAAGCGCCACTGGTTTGTGCTCGGAAAGCTAATATTTTCTTCTCCCTCAATTGAAATGTTAGCTTATTTTTTTATGTGCATGGCAAAGAAACAGATAAATAAAAAGCCATTCTTCAACAACACAAAACAGGATTACTTACAGTTCCTTCTGCCAAGGCAGATATCACATTGCCTAAAGCAGACAAAGACTTATTGATATTTTTAGCTTCATCAAGAACAGCACCCTCTGCTCCAGTTTTGCTGACCTACCAAAGAGAACAGGCAACAGTCAGGCTCAGCTATCAGTAAGCATCTGTACAAGTACGGCTACAGTGCAGAAAGTGCAACAGTTAAAGATCCCTTGGAATTAAAACAAAGCAAACTTAACCTCAGCATGAAGAAGGAGAATTCTATATGCAATTTTCTCTTAGTAGAAGCCTGTAGTAATACTTCCCTTTTATTCCAGCATAAGAGCAAGTTGATCCTTACTTTGTGAAGGGAAAAGCTGGTAAGACTGTGCTCACCTGAGGACACCTGGGGACTACTGAACATCACAGGAATATTCTCAGGGCATGCTTACTGGCACAGTATACATCACCAAATGAGTATCTTGCATGGACCAAGAATATGAGGATAGAAAAAGTATGATCTTGCTCATCCTGAAAGCAAGGTTTACTGGTCCACAAACTCGATCCCAAGGTGGCCCAGTTGAGAAGTCTGGCGGCCTAAGACCATCACTCTTTTAGACAGCAACACATTTTTATCATCTTTTCTGTCTCTCTTTTTCTGGGGGATGGGAAGGGTGGGGAAGTGTACAAAAACGTAGAATAAAGCCATATATTTTTCTCTGTATTAAAACTACAGAATCTGTACTTTTCTCTAAAAATACCACTTGACATAAAAAGAAACATAACTGTATTTTTTAAGAAGACAATCTACCAAGGAAACCCTCATTTCAGGTTTTCTGTACAATGTCCCAAAAAAATAAACCTCAAAATTGTAGTTTTCGGAGAAGAGTAAAGCCTGACTTATTTTTGAAACACCACACTTTCTAAACACCACAAAGTTATTAATTTTACGTTTAGTATTATATGCAATAAAGGAAATTAACATGGTTAATTACTCTGATGGATGGCTTCCACACTGTACCAACAGGTTATCAAATAGCGTGTCCCAGTGATCAAACCTAAAAGTTGTGTAGTCTATCAAACAAATACTTTTATTTTACTTCTCATTTTCGGAAAGAAATAGAAATCTGCCACCACAGTGAAAGACATTGCTTCACCATGAATAATTATTTTGACATGCCCAGTAGTTACTCAGGGTTTTTTACAGTGAGGGTGGTAAAATACTGGCACAAGTTGCCCAGAGAGGTGGTGGATACACCATCCCTGGGGACACTCAAGGCCAGGCTGGATGTTGTTCTGGGGAGCCTGATCTAGTTGCAAATGCCCCTGCTCATTGCAGGGGGCTTGGACTAGATGACCTTTGAAGGTCCCTTCCAACCCAAACTATTCTGTAATATAGCTTGAATACAGAAATCCATAGTGCTGAAAAATGATGAGGTTTATGATTTATTTCATTTACAGTAAAACCATTTTTAACATTCCAGAAGATGTTAGAATGAGAACCTGGAAACAATGACATTTTTTGCACTGCAGTACTGTTCTAGACCATTACTCTTTTGGCAAACAGATACAAGTTCTTTTCTGGTTAGTATTTTTCTATATTTTCTGTATCAAAAGAGTCATTCAGTGAGCTTCAAATAGACTTCAGCTGTGTAACTGCATTAACTGCTATTACTTCATTGATCAATATGAGAAATAATTACAGAAAACTTAGAAACAGGACATGTCTGAACATAAGCAAATTAAAATAGCTGTCTCATTTGACAACTTCCATAAGCATTACACTACTTTCTACAAATACCCATAACTAAGTGTAAAGCTATATAAAAATACTCTGGTTCAAGCCACTTCATTATAAACAAAGATATATTACAGCTTTTGGGTTTTGCATGTCATACAAATAGTTCCAATCTGCTCCTTTTCTCCACCCCACATGAAAGAAACAAAAAGATTGACATACTAATGACAACCTCAGGTAAGACTTCTGTAAAACCTAGCTTAGCTGGCACTGACACACATTCACATAACCAGTTTAGTGATCCCACTAGGATCATTCAGCAGTTAAGGTAAAAGGGAAGATTACCTTCTCACTTCCAGCCAAGTCTACCAGGTAGAGCTTTCCACTGAGTTTTTTCTCAGTTTCCACATTCTCTTGTTTAATATTAATCAGGAAGATACTGTGGCTCCTAGAGCTGTGTTCATTCATATCTGCAATCATATTTGAAAGGTTTTGTTTAAGTGACAAAGAAATTCTATTTCATTAGAGCTTGCCTACGGCTAGCAAATTCAAAAGTGCAAGACCACTGACTGGAGAACCCAGCTCGCTGTACTGACAGAAGTGTCCATGCCAAGAGCTGCAAATAAGGCTCACTCACTGACTACAGAATGATCTCCTGCTTTCTCCCAACATGACCAGATGAACCAGCTTCATGTTAAATGACAATCTTTGGAAAAAAGCTGGTTTGGTTTTGTTTGTTTTTTTTTCTCCCTTCTTTTAAAAAAAGGTTTTTTGTTCCCCTGAAGCAATAAAATTTGACCAAAAATAGTAAAAAAATCATAGCATAAGAAGTGTTCAAAGCCAGGCTGGATGGGGCTTGGAGCAACCTGGTCTAGTAGAAGGTGTACCTGCCCATGGCAGGGGGTCGGAACTGGATGAGCTTTGAGGTCCCTTCCAACCTAAAGCATTCTAGAATTCTGTGAATAATAAAAAAACATTTCACAGACACAGTAAGAAATAAAGTTTCTGTCCTTTTATGCTTCTTCATAGACAGCTTACACAAAAAAATTATGCAATATAACAGACACTATTTAGACACAGAACTACAATGAGTATGTTATGCCCAGCATCCTGGACAGAGGAATAATTTTGAGCTGAGCCAGAGAATTTAAAGAGAAATAAAAATAATTGCTGGGCACATGTCAGTCCAATTGCGTGAGGAGATCTCACAACATTTAGCAAAAGGTTTGTCAAAACCATGCTATTTAAATTCAAATTTCAGAGTGATATTTATTGCTTAAGTAGTTAAAAATCCTTCTTCACCCAGGCCACAGGTAAAACACAAGCAGTTAGTGTCAGCTTTCACTTGTTGTAAGTTTTATCGTAACCATGTTATGCTTGAAGTTTCATAAAGTAGCAAAAACAAAGCACTAAGAATCAGTAAACCATTTCTCATCCATTTTCTCTATTTTCTGTTACCAGAAACCCCACTACCACCTTTCACCCATTCCCATTTGTAGCAATGTTGGCAGTCCTCCGAACTCCCTTTTTCTTCTCCACCTCCAAACCCAGTTTTTTTCAATAATGCTTCCAAATTTGCCCCTTGGATTTCAGTCTAGGTAAAATTCATTCTGTGTCAGCTTCTGTCAGAACTTTTCTGTGTGCACCAAATGCAACAGTTGGTACCACAGCAAAAGCTGTATTTGGGTATTTTTTCATAAAGAGAATAGCAGAAACAATGGAAGGAAACATTACTTCAAAAAAAAAAAGATAATTCATTTCTATTACTACGAGAGAAACGCATGGGACAGCTAAGACAGTATAGTGTTTAACAAAATGAGAAGGTAGAGACATGGAAGAGAAAGAAGTTACTCTGTGCGTCATAAAAAATCAATTTATGTATTAAAAAATATACGAATACCCCACCTCAAAGATCTGAGTTACAAGCTGCGGTCCTGCCAATGTGACTGCTTGGATCAAAGACATCTTACAGAATAAACTGGGAATAGGCCAAAGATACCCATCCTTTTTATTGCTGTAATGCTAGTAGGCTGCATGCAACACAATGTCAATAAATCTGGCACAGGCTGAAGCAATTATGTTTTTTAATTCAGGAAGATTTGTTTGCTTTGCCATCATGGGAACTCAGTCCAAGTCATTGCTTCACTGGGATAACTTGCAAGAGATAGGCAGAGTCTGACAACTGCTCTGCAGTCTTTGCCTGCTGTTTGAGCAGTGAATTATTTTGAGTTCTAGGCTTGCAGCACGAAGAAGAGAGTAGCTATGTAGCTTCAGTTAGACATAATTTCACGATATCTACACTGTGTAACAATACATATTTGACACTCTATAACAATACCATATAATGCCAATTCAAATTCAGGAGTTCTCAAAGCTGAAAGTCAATAAATGTTTCTGTATGCAGTGAAGCAGTGAAAAAGGAACACACTATTCATTTTAAAGCGTTATAATTTGTGCATCATTACATCCGTACTTTGTGAATGTGAAGAATCAATACGTCAATAGGAAGCTACAATCACCCACACTGTATAGCCCGAAAAGCCTTCACAGAATACTTACTTGTAACGGCTACATGACGGTTAGCCTTCCCTTCATCAATGACATCCAAAACTTCTTCAGGACTCGATACAAATCTTTCTGTACAACCCTAGAAAAATGCAAGTTGAAACCAGAAAGCTTTAGGAATTGCGCTAGCACTCCAAATGCCATCAGGAAGGGTATTTAGCACTGGTGAACAAAATATTAGAAGAACCATCAACATCCAACATGATCATTAGCAAGGCAGAGGACAAAAGATGCCTTTGTATGACTTTCAGGGTAAGTTGGGAGAAAATTTTCTTTCACCAGATTAAAGACTTGATACAGCATATATTCCCACTACTAATTTGGGTTAGTTTACATACCCAAATTAGTTTCACTCTCTCAAATTACAAGACAAGATGCATAGTCCTTGCTCTCTGCCTTAATACAATATTACTGCAGGAATTATTTTATCTTTCTTTTTTACCCCTCCTGAGGATGACAATAAACAGAACAAAATTTTATGTATATTATTAAGTTTCATATATGTTCATTACAAGTATATTATGCTTAAGTGAGGTGCAGGAAGTTACAGAACAAATTCCTAACCCAACAAATCTGTTCTAAAATATTGTGAGATTATAGCACATATGCAAAAAAATTAAAGAACAAAATTCTTCAAAATGTTGTCTTTCACATCTGCCATGAAATGGGAATATGAATACTTAAAATTTAACACCATACTATCAAAATGTAAATGTTTTAATGATTCAAGCCTGTTAATATTTCAGGAAACTATTTAAATCCAGGGACCAATACTATTTGAACATTCAAGACTCCAAACATAAGTTGAATCATTTCGGCAAACACACTGGGATACAAATGAAAATGTGTAAATAAATGAATATGTGAGAAAGAATGAAAAACTGAACATCAAATTTTCCCTGTACCTTAACATATGGGACTCTGTTTTTATCTTCATGTACAGCGAGGTTTGTCTTTGACACTAGAAAAAAAAGATGGCAATCAATAAGAATACTCCACAGGTAATAATGTGTCACCTATAGAACTGACAGACAAATATTGTGTACATATCAAATTTGTAAGTGAGAACTGCAGTTGCTTCCCACTCCTTATGAACTACCAATATTTCTGTTACATTAAATTTGTTCTGTTCACCTTGTACCTGTTTCTTCAAAGCTAAATTTACTCCACAGAAACTTTTGTTTATTGCGTGGATTAGTAAAATGAACACAGACCAATTTGGGTTTTGCCAAAGCAGCAAGAATTTCAAAAGAGACAGAAGAACTCGCAGGAATTCAGAACAGCTCAAATACTTGTTCCTGGTTTTGTATTACAATTAGCATGTATTTCTGTCTTCAGAATGATTCACACATACAATTCACACTTTCATTAACATACAGTGCACATACACAGAGACACAAATTGTAAAAAAATACAGATCACTCCCAATAAATTCTACCTAACAGAAGCAAAGCAAGGAATACGTTGAACTGAATGCATCCAGAGCTAACAGGGGTGGGGAGGAGGAAACAATCAAAACACAACAGAAAACAATGGAACACTATGTACATTATTACAGCTTGACTTTGAGAACTTATATTGTCAATGAGGCTCAGACCTGCCTTGAAGTCTGTAAAATTCTCTGTACCCTTTTATAACCAAGCTATGCAGCACTGCAGACGTAAGTGCACAAGAGTTAGAGATCAGATGACTTAAAACTGCTAAATTCTTTTTCACAAACCCTTACAGCTACTGTCAAAGAAAACAGCTGTTTCCCCTTAAGCACTGATTCAAAGCACTACCCCAAGCCCAAAACCACTTAATCACACAAGAAATGCAGAACTTACCATCAAGTAGGTCCCTTATTTTGTCCAAATATATCTCAAAGTAGGAAACCTAATTAAAAAAACATTAGATTTATACATCTTTGTACCTATATTTTCATATCTGTCAAAATAAAAAGCACCGAACTAAAAATAAAACCCACTTCCTACATAGTTTGAATCACATCTTCCACGTGAACATCTGTGTATTTTGCATGATTTACAAGTCACTGATCTTCCTCCATTTTATCAGTGATTCATCAGGAAAGTATAGGAAAAAAAACAACTTTAGACAAATCTTATCTTCTTTTTTGTTTTTAACACAGGCAAAATTGCCAAAAGTGTTGAACAGAATCAAATCAATTTCACTACTATCATACCAGGATAGCTGCATCATGAGAAGGGTCAAGTTTGACAACTGTAGGAGGTACACTGATATTCAGCAGCACAAAAGCAGGCAGCACCTTTGGTGGTTTAACATACGAGTTACATAAGCTTAAGCAATATAAGCAATATATAGCAAATTCAATTTAAAATGAAGCATAAATAAAAGTTCTGTCTTGAATCAAGTCCCAAAGAAGAAACTGAAAATGAGCTTTTCTGTAACAGAGAAACAACTGTCCTAAAAAAAAAAGAAAAGAAAAAAAAAAAGGAGAAGGAGAATGAATGAATGAATGACTTTCTTAACAAAAGGGTATTCAACTCAGTAGCAAACACAAATGTGTTAGGGGCATGGTACTTAACCAGACCCTAAATAAGCTTTACCCAGGGATTATTTAGCTAGAATACTAGGTGGCTAAACTCTAGGTATCAGTAAATTCTAGCTATTTAGTAAATTACCTTTTTCTCTCATGTGAAAAATAAATCATGTGGGGTTTTATACCAATGAATTGATCTTCCTATGTGACAACTGCTATTAAATAGATATACATTTTGCTTTTATGCATTTTACTTCACCTGCAGCCCATTTAAAGCCATCCTCTGGATCAGCTCATTTTAACAGTCCTGGTCTCCCAGACTTAATTCACGTGCTTTATGTTATCCTATTAACACACTGCTGAGGACCAACACACCTCCCTGTTTTAAATGTGCCTCTATTAAAGAGGGGAATGAAGAAAAAAATGATGTTAATTTTCAATATTGGCTCAGTTATTAAAAGAGTATGACAGTTTAGTTAAATTCTTGCTCCCACTGACAGAACATGCATTTCTCTCAATGACAGCTCCTTGTATAATCACTCACTCATTCACTGTTATTTAGGCAGCTTTTCTGTTAAGATATTCATAAATGTCAACTATGATAAGAAAACCACTGAGACAATTCACTGCTGGCAGAACATGATTTATAAAATGATAATCATCTGCCAGGACAGGAATTTACTACATCTTGTACAAGGGGGTCCCCATCTGTTGGTATCCAAGTGCTATCATGTAGAATAGCAACACCCACAGGACAACTTTACAGATTACAAAGAGAAATCAGTGTCACTCCTATGGAAGGCATTTCTACAAAAATCCAGAGGTGTCTCTTCTTAAAGAGCTCAATATTTTAAAATCTAAGGTCTATTCAAATATTCACATGGTTTATTTGTAATTCATAAGGCTGCTCCTTCTGTGTGTACTTCACGAGCGTGCGCATAAGCAGGCACTGCTAAGATTGTTCTCAATACAAAATGACCTGGTCTTTCTGGAAGATCAGTGGCTGGTTCAGAGGTTCTCTGATAGATTATTAAAATATATACACACACATATATCCCCCCAGAAGTGCTTCAAGGTCTTTAATGCAAGCAGCACTAAAAATCCACTCATCTCTAACTGTTAGGTACAAGAGAGACAAAGGAGGAGAGCTTGATTCTCAGAGAGCATCACCTGGTCACATTAGGAGAAGGGACAGTGTTTTCACACTGTCTGTGCTCAGCTACTTAATTGTACTGAAGCCATTTAGGTATAGTCTATGCATTTTAAGGGAGGGATGACAGAGGAGTACTCATTTTTCACTGGATAATTTTACTGATGTCTGCCTGGAAACAAGCTGTACCTGACCCCAAGTCTGCCAGATGCCCAATACCCCCTGCCACGGCTGAACGCTCTCCAGGAGACTCGATGAACAGTAGGAATTAAAGGTCACTCAAGAAATTTGAGAGAGCATATGCTTTGGATCAAGATAGGGACATGGAAAACCATAGTAGCTGTTCAAATTGAGACTTAGACCACCATCTTAAGGAATTCATACACAGGCTTCTGAGCAAAAAATTACTTCTAAACGTCTTTCTGTAAACTGCCTAAAGCCATCTTTCCTCCATTTCAAACCCACATACTATACAGGACAGCATGTCAGTATTCTCACAAACACCATGGAGATCAGTAGTATTTATGGTCATAAGTAATGAACAGTCTTTGGGGAAGCTGAAGTGAAGGAAGTGTTTTCTTAACATGTTGATTAGCCTATCAACTGTGGTGAGAGACAAGACAATCAACAGACTAGTGAACTTGAGCTGAAAACACACTCAAGAAAAACTTCCATCAAAGGCTAGTAACTGTATTAGGTTATTTCTAGTAAATATCCCTAGGAACATAATGCTTTTTTTTGAGCTATAAAAGGAAGAAAGGAAAAATTCTGCAGCACAATGTTATAGCATAAATGCAGATTTCCCGTCCAGCCCCATTCTCTTCCATCCGACCCATTACATAACACATCATTCTGCATTTACCTTTATATGAAACTCCAGGTTTTCATCCATGGAGTAGATGTGATCAAAGATGTCATGTGCAATTCTTGGAATAATTCCCATGAGCTGAGGGTCGTGCAGCTTTCCCTGCAGACACAAAATCAAACCATGTCTTGGAAAGCCTTACTCAGGCACAAGAGAGAAGAAAGCCTTGTCCAAACACACTTTCCTTCAGCAGGTCCCTATGAACATATCTCCTGCTCTTGCAGAAGATTCACTTGATATAAGTGCACAGAAAAGGTGGCAGAACAACTCAATGTCTTAGCACTCTTCACCCAATGAAACACCTATTTGTTTTGTCAGCTCTTGCCATTTGCTAAGCATGCTGTCCTGCTGCTATTTATGCTGCCACTCTCCAGCCAAAGACAGACGAATAAACACAAATGTACAAATAACAGCCCAGTTTTCCCAGTTAAATCAGTTATTTGGAAATATGTCAGAAACAAGAAGTTTTAAAACATTTTGTATCTCTTTCACTACTATGCTAGAAAGCTAAAGGGAAATCTGGGTTGCAGGGATTTGAGGATTAGAGTAACATATTCTGATTTGAGCTTGCTGGGCCTATTGCCAGGGAGCTGTGCCTTACGAATGCTACTGTTCTCCATGTTAATTTGTACAACTACCTTCCTCCTTTCTTTCAAGAACTGAATATTAACTAAAACCAACTATTTCCCTCGTATGTGGCTCCTTTCTACATTTCTTTTTTTGACAGACACATGCAGGAAAGCTAACACCACTTGAAAACTGAATAGAAAAATAGACTTGAAATAAAAGCCTTTTCTGACTACAGGATACACTGCACTGTTAATTCCAAATGTTTTATGAAACTGCTGAAATATGCAATAACAACTCAGTAGTTGTAAGACTCCATCAGAACACTGCATCTAGACATCTAGAAACTGTAATACAACTTTTGAATATATCTTTGCCCAAATAATACTGCCCATATCAGCACAAAGCATGTCACTCCATATAGTTGTAGGGAATTTTATTTTCTTTTAAATATAGTGGGTAATGACACAATTCCAAATCATGGGAAGTCAGATTTAATCTGTATTTGCTAAAAATTATTAAACACCAGATTATTTTTTTTTTTAGCAAAATAGTAAGAAAACCATACAAATGTACATATGTTTTCCAGTATTAAGCATGTCTGTGAATGACTAGTGAGTCATACTGATCGGTTTTGCAAGTTTCTCAACCTTCATTAGTATACTCAAATATAGTCTTCCTAGACATGGCTTCCTTTTTACTAAAGCTGGTGAAATGACAGTCAACTTCTAAGCATCAGCCTAGGATAAAGAAAATTTCACACAACTGACAAAATCTTTCCCTCTGTCTCAAAGCCTGCATTAAAAGTAGTTACTAGGTTTCTGCCCTCAAATTACATAAATATCTGGGGGGGGGGAAGGGGTGGGAATATACATAAATCAGTTACATTGCTGCTGACTGCCTTCCCTAGAAAGCAGCACTCAGCTGTATCTAAACCATGAATATTTCATCTATATTATACAAGTAATATTGCCTTATGCAGCAAAAGCATTAAGTGCTATACCATATTCAACATCTTATTATGCTTCTCAAAAACTAGAAAAGTCCTTGTCATATGACATACCATTTTATTTCACATTACAAGAATGAAAAAAAAAAAGGTGACTGAATAAACTAAATCCCTGATGGAGGGGGAAACTTTGAATAAGCACACATCCCAACATTGTTTTATCCTGCCAGCTCACTACTCCGTTCTGTCACACAGTGCAGTTATTGAACAGAGACTGTGATACAGTTTTCACACTATCCATTTCTTCTCCCTGAAGAAGTCCTTGAAAAGCCCACTGAAACCAACTGACTATCCTGTATTACTGCACGGAGAGGGTTTTCCCAAAGAGGGAAAAAGGAGTTTGTCCTAAACTAGGAAAAAACATAGATTGGTTGATAATTCTTCAGCGCACATAAATCCAACCAAAGGTATGTCTACACTATGAAGTACTGCAAAATGCGTGATTCCTGAAGTGGCAAAGGCAGCTATAGAGCAAAAACTGATAGAGCTATGCAGCATCCCCTTTTCTGTAGTTGCTTTGACCAAGCTGTGTCATTATCTCAGCCAAAGGATGATTTGAATTCAAAGATTTGTTGCAAAAAATTCTGTCTGCACAGAGGTGCATCGGCTTTGGGATCACTGCACCAGGTAAGCATATCCCTTAATAAGTGTGGGGAAGTGATAACTTACAAACGCATTTGATTAAACATTCCTCCAACCCCAACAAGCCCTGTAATAATTATGCTTTCTTTTACATAGCTTTCTCCAGCTCAGAAGAGAAATCAATCTGTAAAACATGATTAAGTGTAACTCAATCACTGCATCTGAAACTTCTTGGGCTCCAGCCCTCTCGCTATTTAAGTCAGAAGAAACTACAATGAAACAAGATCACATTCAACACTTTAAGAAGAGTTAAGATCTTTAAAAGGCTGCAACACCGACAGTCTGTCATGCATCGAAAAATACTCATTTTTTACTTCATTATAAATGGATTTTTACTAAAATAAGAGACGATTGAAGCAGGTCTTACAATAATTTACGGAGACCATAAACTGGAAGGGAAGAGAAAGGTAAGAGGGTAAAAGTAGGCTATTCACAGGACAGCTGGAATTAAAAAAAATAATTAAGTAATAATAAAATACCCAAATAAAATTAAAAAAACCCCACCCAAAACCCAAAAAAGCACTCACAACAACAACCAAAAACTCATCAAAAAACCCCACCAAAACCCCAAAACCCACTCTCATGGAATTAGCTGTAACCTCAGAACAAGTTTGAGACATGTGCTGTTGCTGCTACGCTGATACTGCAGTTTGTAAACTAACCCAAAGCACCCAGATGGAGAGTTCTCTGCTCATTAAAGCCTCTCATTTAAATAATAACTTTACTTTCTACATTTAAATATAGCAGGCAGGCAGTAGCTATTGAAGTGCAACATTTGAGACAGTGCTGTTTTATTTCAGGATGTAGACACAATAACTACAATCTGTAAGGATTCAGTATTGAAAATTACTATAATGTCAAAGCCCATCAATATAATCTTATGAGCAAGAATATGTAATTTTTAAGAAGGTATCTATCTTGCTATACAGGTTGGTAAATGCTTTATCTGGCACAGGAGAAGGACCTATCTCTGTCAGAAAGCCTATCCTGGCTATATTACACTACCATGTCCTGTTTAAGATTAATACTATGAAGTATTTCACTGAAAATCCTCCATAACAGCTTTATCAAGAGGATTTACTATTTCTTCAACTTCAGACTATTTTTTCCTTCTACAACATACTTTAGCAACTTTACAAGAGGATGTTAGGTTAAAAGGGGGATTAAAACTGAATATAGGTTTGGTTCCACTTTAAAATGACAGCTTTTTCTTTATTAAAGAAGTAAACCAGCCATTTTTCTACAGTCATTTTCTTTATCACAGCTTGTAATTCTGAATATAAATTGGCTTTAAGAGATCCTTCCCCATGCCATGTGGAAGCACCAGCTCAAGCCCTGCAGACATTTTGATTTAATTACATTCAGAGCTGGTGGATTACTCAGCCATTGTGCCATCTGTGAGGGCTGAGCTAGTGATTTCCCCCATCCTCACAAGGACAGACTTAATTAGATGTGAGGTATCAGTTATTGCATCCTCCAGGAAAGGAGCAACTGTGGCAACTGAACAGCAAATTCACGAGGGCATTTTGGCTCACAGGAATATTGCTCTACTCAACCTTCAGGTTAGGTAGGTCACCTGTGTTAACCATATAGCAAAACCATCTGATACTGTTAAACAAATGAAAACTGTTTTTTTCCTTTTATTTAGCAAAACTTTGCTTTAGACCTCCCATTAAATGTTCCCAGTTGAACTGAAATGCTCCAAGCTTGTACAGCACTGTGATGGAACAATCCTATGTGAGGGTTAAATGCTTGAATGGTCCTCCTTTTCTAGCAAAAGCCTAAAATATGTAATGTCTTCTAATTGAACAGTTAAAAATATAAATAAATAAACACAGCAGAAACTGACACACTTCACACAGCAGAAATATGAACAGCCTTGGGATTTCGGCCACTGGAATTTGGTACAATTTGGCATTTTTCTCCTCCAAAGCAACAATTCTCAAATTCATCCATCTGTGCTGTAGCACGTGCGAATGATATTCCCAGAAGGGGAGTGCAAATGAGAAAACCTATAACCAAGGCAGGAATTTTCATAATCCTGCATGCAAGGGAACTCTATAGACCCTTATTATCGTTTTCATTTGTGGATTAACAAATCTCACTCAAATCCTTTAAGATATACACATAGCTAAACTGTTAAAACAAATACAGAGAAAATACTTGATATTTTTCAATCACCACTTCTTAGTCTGGCTAGATATCTGTAGCCATCTCCTGAAAATAAACCCTCCACGTTGAAAGAAATACTATAGCTTAAAAGGCAACAGAACCTAAACATACCCAGATCTCTTTTTATATATTACTTACAGCCGAGTGCAGCAGATAGTTGGCTTGTTCAAGTAATTGGGACATATAATTCTACTGCTTCTACCAAACTGAATTAATTTTGCCACTGTACCTCCATAGTATGTGTTTTTCCTGATGATGTCTGCCCATAAGCAAAGATTGTGCCATTGTATCCTTCAAGAACATCTGCGGGAAGAAAAACAATTAAAACTCATATTGCCACCTTAAAGCTTGATTATCATAATTTCAAGTCTTCTACAATGCTGGTGCTCAATTAGAAAATAGTTTGTGCAATAAACAGAAAGAAAAATATGACACAACCTTTAAGAAGAAAAATAATTCATAATAAAATCTAAATTAAAGAATTGCAGAATTACTGACATCTCATTTTCCTAGGGAAAAAAAAATAATCTCTGGACACCAGACATTTTCTGATATACCTGTGTAACATGGGAAACAGAAAACTGCCTGCATTTCAAATGCACCATACAGAAAATTAAACTCATACTGTGTACTTTTACTACTATATCACCCTCAACAGTTCATGGTCTCATTAATTTTCAAGCTTGTCTGTAAAGCATAAGAGAAAAGCAATAAGAAAGTCATATAAGCAGAACTGGCTTTATTGAAATATACTTCTCTCAAGGCAGAATGAATAAATTTATATTGCATTAATATATAAAAAATAGCCATTTTTAAATTTGCAGCAGTTAATGTCTACAGTAGCTTTTAGAAATCCATGAGGGTTGTAAACCAGCTGGTTCTTAGGCAGTCCCATGTCCATTCATTGCAGTTGAAAGGATTACTGGGTAGGACTTGCTCCAGGCAAGTGAATTTGAAGTCTTAAGTAAGGGCACCTATTTATGCAGCTTTCATGTAAGAATAAAAAATAGAGTAATATTTACGATAGTTGCTCACAAAAAATTAAGGAAGCCTCCAATTTAAAAACCCCACAGAGCTCACATCAGACTCTTGTGAATGATCCCCCTGGATCCCAAATGCAGCAAGAAGGATGCTGGCCAGGATGCCCACCTTCCTTCTGAAATATTTATTCTGTTGCTCACCCCTCTATATCTGTACTAATACAGGCTAGCAGGAGAAAAAAAGCTGTTTGCATGTGTGTATATTTATAGGAAATACATACACATATTATGTGTATGTATCGTGTGTGTATTTATAGGAAATACATACACTTATTATATATTATATAACATGCCATATATGTTGCATTTACATGAACACAAACACTTATAATCTCATTTGTATTTCCATATGTCTGTGTGTAGCTGATCCAGATAGAAAGAGTACTTAAATATGACACATTAGAAAAATATAAAAAGAATGAAGAAGAAACAAACATGAAAAAAAAATCAGAGAAAAACAACAGAAAGGTTATTTCAAAGAAAAGAAATTGATAAAAATAAAGGGAAGGAGATGTTTTTCAAAGACAACTGCTACACAGACCCAACATTTCCTATACAGCAATACTGAGTAAGGATGAAATTGGAATGAAGACATTTTAAAAATACATATTCTAATTAAACACAGAGTGTAACTATTTAAGTTGTGTCAGAACTGTTTTGGAGAGCTGAAGAGAACAGACAAGCCAGAGGCTGTATAGACCTCTACAAAGTATTGCTGGGTAAATTTTTCAAATCTTGAAATCCAGGAAAATGACAAAGAGATTCTAATTACTGTCATTCTGGTATTAACATTTTGTATAAATTTAGCATCCTCATCTGTTTACAGAAATAGATACTCTGCTTATTCTTGCTTTAGGGAAACAATGCTTAAAATAAGTAATTATAAATAACAATTGCATAGATAAAAAAACAGATGTCCAGGCACAGATGCAGTGCTATCTTGAGTTCATGCCTTCAACCCATTACTTCACCTGCTAAATAGGACCATGTTACTGGTTATTTCAAAACATTCCCTCACCAGCTCTTTTCTGAAGGGAACATCTCATTCATTTTCAGTTCAACACAGAATGAATTTGAGTGTAAGTGCTACAACAAAGGTAGCTTGAATGCAGGAGAAAACAGGTGGTGAGCCTCATTCCCCCTCTGCAATACGTTCAAAGCCCATTCACTTGAACTTTCACAGGTGCAATTTGAGTGGCTTTTCTTCCCAATAAATCCTCAATATAGTCTAAGCATTGGCTTTGGGAGACATTAAAGTATTAATGAGGGAAAAATAGCTGCTTAGCAAATTCCTGAAGACTTGTGAGCATTAAAACCTTAAAATGAATTCTGCTAGGAGGCCCACTCAGCTTGCACTGATGGGTATAACTCAGGCAAACCAGCAGAAATATGAATCACAGGACCAAGGAGGTAGAGGTAAAGATGCAACCAAGGGTTTGCAGTGTTAGAACAGCAGCCGCAGCTCACAGGAGATAAAAATTACATCTTTTGTATAAATACAAAAATTTTATTTCCTTTAAAAAAGTTAATCAAATTAATACTATACTTCAAAATAGCCTATAGGCAAGGCACTATGTAATGAAACTGTATTTGAAACTTTTAAAATATAAAGCTTAAATATAAATAAATAATATTTAAAACTTAACTTTTCCAATTGAACACACACATTTATAAGCACAACACAGAAACAGTCATATTTAACTTTTGAGGCTACATCCAGTTGTAAGTACTCCATATCTATTGTGTACGGAAGCCTCCATCTCCGTTAGCCAGAAGGAAAGAAAGTATTTGTGTTTGAATTTTTTATTCTAAACTAAAACCTTGTTTTAAGTTAGAAAATAAGGAAGGCTCATTTTCTTCTTCAGATGGAAATCAGCTAAATGAGCTGAAGTGTCTGGAAGAAGCACAGAACTAGTTTCAAAGGTGTTTAGGCAGCAAAAAAAATAATCATCCTGGGGCAGAAGAGGCGGGAGAGGGTGGTGGGGGTCAGAAATCCTTGAGCCAACGTATGCAACTCTTGTTTGTTTCGAAAATACCACTTGGCATCCAAACACGTTTAAATTCCCAGGACATTTGAACAGAATCTAAAAGTTCGCTTCCACTGTGTCCTCTTTTTGCCACATCCAGTTAACTTAGAAAATTTTAAAAGAAAAGAAAAAGAAAAAAGAAGTTTGAAGTAAAAAAAAAAAAAAAAAAGGCTTATTATGCCCAGGTGAATTCAAGGTACAGCATCAGCTCTATACTGGTACACAGCCTAGGGGGAAAATAACCTGATTAATCAACTGTTATGTAAGAAAATTGCTCAGAATTTGCATCAATGTATATTAAGATACATTCTGCTTGAAGAAGCATAGGTAAGCAATTTACCTTCCCAAATAACAAAAAATACTTTGTTTCACAAAAAAAAAATAAAAAATAGCCTTTTGGCCTTTTGTATCAGCTGCAATTAAAAAATGCCAGTGGTCTCAGTAGTAGAAGAGGTTATTTTTGTTGGAAGGCTTTCCACATTATGATAGTTAATATACCATCTGTCAGTTGAAGAAAGAGAGTAGACAGTCCCAGATAGAAACAGCCTGCACAAAACTTAAAAGAGTGGGGGAGCAGGAGGGGAAACAACAGGTGCACAAAGTGACTGAATAAAGATCAGTTGGGATTTCTACGTAACTCTTAACAAACAAAACCAGTCAAAGTGCTTTTCTTAATTCCTCATCTAACTCTTTCTATAGCGATTATCAGTTTGATTTACCCTTCCCATATAAAACAGCTACTCAACTCAGCCATTCAGCTGCTGCAGAATGGCCTTTTTCATGAGTATGGATAGAACAGGTAGCAACAGTCTAGAACGGCAGCTATTGTGCAGGGGTACAACACAGCCTTGCTCAGGTTAGGGACCTAGAAAGTCCTTCCAGCAGCATTGGAGCACTCAGCAGAGCTTTGCAAAAAATGGCCAAGGGGAGCTGTGTGCTGGAGACCTTGCAGATAGACCACTGACCAGTTTAGGAGTCTTAATGGCAAGAAGAAAAGCCAAATGGCTCTACAGAAGCCCCTTCAGCCTCATTCCTAAAGCCAAATTTTTAGCTCTATACTTATCTTTTCCATTTTCTAGGTTCTGCAACTCAGCATTTGAGGCCTGTATTTGTAACCAGAATAGAAAGTCAATAAGCTAAGCAGTGAAAGCAAGCTTACCACCTAAAATATCATTAAAACAATTTTCTCCTCCTCACGGATAACACTAATGTGCAGATGTTCACACACGCGCTAACATGCTCACAGCTTGGGCCATTACATATTCTCACTCACTGTAAATGTAGGAAGAATGCAAAATCCTGATGCAGACATCCATCTGCATAGATTAAGAAGATAAAGCTGTTTTCTGGCAATAGAGAGCAATTGGAAACAAAGCAAAAATGGTGGCAATCACACACTATTGTTCCCTTTCAGATTTAGCGATATTTCTTAGTTTGGTTATAAGAAATGTAAACACAAGTTCCCAAGCTGTGGTCACATGCACTAGTGATGATTTCCCACACACTTCCACTACCAGTACTTCTGCTGCTAGGAGTACCTTGAATGAACACCATCCCAGCACCCACCCTGATTCAAATTGCTGTAACACACATATTGCTTCTCCTCCTCTAAAAAAATATCCCCGTTTCTCAAGTGCGGAACATGAAACATTTCGACTTAGTCATTGAGCTGTTTACTTAAACCTAATCCCATTTCTTCTTTAGTGATGGAAAAACTCATTTAGGTAATTCTTATTGTAAACATAGTTATAACCATTGTTTTAGAGTGTTAGGCCAGCTGGCATTTTCTGTGATAACGTTAATCACAATGAAACCATCAGCCATTTCATGGAAGTATAATGAAATCTGATAACAAATGGTAACCTTGAAAAGCTATCTAAAAAAGTCTCAAAGACTTAAACAGTGTAATGCACTTAGCTCATATTTCCATGTAGTAAATTACATTGTTCCAGTCTATCAGAAAAAGTCCTATCCATTTCACATTCTTCAATTTATTAGGCTTTAAACTGAAAATTAAACCTAAGGAAATGTAAGCCTAGAGCTCAAGAACATCATTCCAGTAACACTGTGCTCTCCCTCCTCACCTCCCTGTTTTGCACTCTCTTTCCCCATCTCCCTTTCTCTCTTGCCCCATCACTGTCCTCACTTTTTCTGCTTTTCTTTCTCCCCCCCCCCCCATTTCTCTTTCTCCTTTCCTTTCTCCTACACCCTCCCCCTCAACAAACTTGCCTTTCAAGTCATCTAGAAGGTCTAAGTTAATAGACATGCAAAAGTGTTTTAACTCTATTTTTAAGTAGGACTTTGGAAAGTATTTGCCTTTCTAACTGGCTAATGAAGAAGGCATAGTCATTCATATAGGTCTTCCAATTTCCTCTCAAACAGGATTTTATTTCTCTCCCCATTTTCAGAGGAAACCAGCTGCCACAGAGGATATAAATAGACTCCCCAAGTCTACAAACAGCGATGTGCTGCTTCTGTTCGCACACACACTGTAATACTGAAACAGTTCCCCAAACTTCCAAAACTTGAGTGGTGTGTCAGCAACCCAAACTACTGACTTCTAAGCTCTACATCTCCAGTCCCTCCAGATTTTATTAAAGCCTTACCCGTCTGAAGTTAGAATTGCCATAATTAGGCTCCCCTCTGAGAGGAGGCAACTGAAATCTTATGACTCATTTCCTCTCTCCAACATGAAACAATTTAGCTTCTGGTCCTCCTCCCAGTCATCTAGACTACATGCATGTTGGTTTGCTCCAGGCTGTCTGCGCAAGTCAACCGATGTTCCTCCAGAACAGAACCCAGGATTTGCAGCAGCACTGCTCACCCTGGTGACTTCTCCCCACTGGCTGACAGAAGCTCACAGCAGATCAGCTACATGCCTGAAACACTAGCAAGTCCTTTAACACTGCATCAGTAGCTCCTGAACCTCTGAGCAACCCTGAATCTCTCATACCACATAAATTCCAGTGTTAAATGTACAGCCTTGTGCTGCTACACAAGCACAACTCTGACCAGCTCTGACAACATCTGCATTGCCTACATACTTCGATTTGAAAACAAAAGCTGAGGATCAAATTTTGGAAGGTGCAGGGGCACCACACAAAACCAGGGAATAACTGGTTTATTAGATCAGGTGCTACTTGTAACTCCTGAGAAGCTGTAGCAGCTGTAATACCATCACAGATGGACTATCCAGCATCAGAACCAAGTGGGAGGTCTGAGGGTGATTTGGGATGTGGGAGAAGTATGGCAGGTGGTGGAAGTATGACTCGCAATTAAAATGCACCCAAAATGCTTGATTCTCAAGTTAAAAACTTCAACTTTCAATAGTTTATGAAGGTTTTATTTTAAACAAATAGGATGCCATCCAGTACTCACTTCTGTTCTAATTTCATTTTTAAATGCAAGCTATCTGCCTGGAAAGCAGCTACAAAACCAGTGCCTTTTCCGTTTTCCTTTAATGGTCCGTCTATCATTCAAAGACACAACTATTCCACACTCATCCCATAGTCTCACACTGCATTAAGAACATGCTTTCTGTTGCTTATCATATATCACAAAAATCAAGTATTTGGGTGGAATAACAGTCACACGAAAGGAGAAAATTAGGAACAACTACTGCAATTTCTTCAGCCCTTTTTCTTTTGTTTTGTGTTTTGTTGTTTTTTTTTACACAGACACATCCTTAAAAAAGGAAACACTTGGAATTACCAGTTATTACACTCTAATAGAGACATCTAAACATTTATTATCCAGTCTTTAAATAGCTTGAGGGCACACAGGGAGACATCTTTTTCCCTCCCCACAAGCAGGAATAAACAAAGACAACACCTACCTTTAACAATCTGCTTGGCACAGGCATTATAAACTTGCTCCTGGGTTGTATTAGGAGGTAACACTCTATCAAAGACATATGGTTTCCCTTGCTGCAAACAAGACAGAAACACTGTAAGATAAAGAACATGTAAAACAGTTTATAGACCAAATACAACAGGCATCCTGTAATGCAGCACTTACTACAAAGGAAGCCAGTCAGTGCAATGGATACAATATTTTGTTGACTAAACAGAGGTGACATCTCATGTGCTCCAAACTCATCTTTTCTACAGTTGGCAAATAAAACACAGCATGTATTTTCTGTGTGTTCACATTTGGGTCACTGGCTACAGTTGCAGGAAGCAATAAGCTGAACTATCAGTAACTGAAAGTCATTTCCTCCCTCTCCTAGGAGTTAAGGAAGAATAGCCATGTAAATATTTGCAAAAAGATCTGCTGTTCATTGGGGCAAGCTAGTGAAAGCTGTGGTGTGAGAAACGGCAATCAGATCTGACAGAATCAGAAGTTTGCAAGTCCTGACAGTTGCCTTCTGCTGAGGCTGGGGTGGTCCAGCACTTCCCAGCACCCTATGTGTTCCTTCAGCAGAAATAGAGTGGCTTGATTCTTATGCTCACCATGCAAATGTGTATCGGTAATAGCACAGGTTAGACCCAAACCAGGCAGCCCAGTCACTGCTGTTTTACCCTAATCTTGTATTTTATTCAGAAATGGTCACAATTTTTATCCTTAACACTAACAAATAGCAAGATACCATGTGAAAAGAGCTCAAAAATTATGTTTTGAATGGGACTGGGGCCATTTCCAGACTGTGAACTGCCACTATCTCACCACAGACACGGAGCTGCCTTAATTCCCAGGGGACACCACAACTGACACGTATTCATATGTCGATATGTTGTAGCACAACCCACCCATACACTTCCATGAAATTTTGATTCCTCTGTAGCAAGTATAATAGGTTACAAGAGAAACACATATTACCAATCCTAAAAATAGACTTGCATGACACTCAAAAGGCAAATCAACTCTTAAGACAGCAGTTCATCTCCTTACAACTCAAAACCAAGCAAAATATGTACATTTAAAATACAATTCCTTTATTTAAAGTTACGCTAAGAGGATGTGCAACATCTTTCTTATCTTCCATCAAAGCCTGTTAATATATCCTTTTTAATATGCGACACCTGCTCTGAGAACATGACAAAGGCTTCAAAGCTAACTTTGGATACTCAAAAGTAGGAGTCTTGTTCTGGTGAGCCGATGTACCATTCCTGTCATTCGCTGCCAGCTGTTCAAATGCTGTGCTCAATTAACCATTTTTGTCACATTTTGTGATTTTACTTCAAGCAGATCATAAACTTACACTTGCCTGCTCCTTAAACTTGGATACTTAACAGCCACAGGGAAACGAGACAGAAAGGTGTTTGCCTGCAATGTGTGTTCTTCTTGTTTTGTCCCAGAATTTCAGATCTCAAGGATATGAAAGCAATTTATAAATCATTCAGTAAGTAAGTCATGGTCCTATGCTGGCACGAGGTGGCACCAGAACACCCAAGCACCTTGCTTGGTAAGACACAAGCTCAAAGTGGTGACTCGGACAGATATGACCAATGCAGCCCAGGCCTCAGTTTTCACCTGCAGCAGCTTCAGCCCCCAGGAGAATGTTGGGAGCACCCAAACAGCACCTACCCCATACTCTCTCTCCGCAGCTTTCCATGGACACTATCACGTCAGAAAGCCACAAAAAAAATATCCCATTGTAATTGTGCTTCACGCAGCTGAAATAAGCACTGGCTTCAACTGTTCTTTATCTGCCAGACTGAAAAGCTACAAATGTTAAACATCAATTCACACGTTTGATACATAGGTCCAATCTCCTTCAGATTTTTGTTCTGGGAAGCTAGAAGACTGGAACACTCACCACTGATATCCAAAGAAAATAAATAAATGTGAAGGATCACAAAGGATCTGTCATCAACTGCATGAAATGAGAGCACTCCATTACCCAAGAAGCACTTAACACGTTTTGGGAGAGATTTTTTGTGCTTCATCTCTGCACTGATCTTAGACAAAGACAACTTGAGGCTCATGATCTTTTCTTCAAAGGAGTGTATGAGTGGGCACAGACCCTCTTCTGCCCTCTGTTTGCTAATGCATACTTCTTTTGCTCTACCACTGTTTCTCCTCTGCCCTAAATCCTCTCAATCCTGCTTAACCCTCTTCTCCCCACTACCTGCATTCCCTGCTCCTTAGACTCCTCATCCTCTTCCCTCTTTCGCTGTTCACCTGCTTGGGTCTCTGATGTTGGAGAAATGTTAGGCATCACCCACATCACCCAATTCACCTTGTTCAGCTTTCTGACTCTTCTGTCCCACCAGATCTCCTAGGAGTTCTCAACACCATCTCCAGGCTCCTGGTGGCAGGCTGTAACCTTCACCACCTCTCCCATTAAGTTTTTCCTCGCCCCTTCGATGTCCCAGCTGGGCATCCCACAGACCCAATCTGCACGTGTCCCACAAGAGCTCACCCTCAGCTTACAGGGGCTAGAGAAGACCACAACACCTTAGACAGGGAGAAGAGTCTTTGAGGTTCTCAATTACTTTTTGCCTCAGTCTTCACAGGCAAGTGCTCTAGCTATGATGCTCAAGTCTCAGAAGGCAAATGGAGGGACTGTAGGAGAGGATCAGGTTTGAGATCATCTTAAGAACCTAAATGTGCACAAGTCCATGGGACCTGATGAAGTCCATCTGTGGGTCCTGAAGGAGCTGGCGAATGAAGTTGCTAAGCCGCAGGCCATCATATTTGAAAAATCATGGCAGTCAGGTGAAGTTCCCAACGACTGGAAAAAGGGAAATATAACCCCCATTTTCAAGAAGGGGAAAATGGATGACCCGGGGAATTACAGACCAGTCAGTCTCACCTCTGTGCCTGGCAAAATCTTGGAGCAGATTCTCCTGGAAGGCATGCTAAGGCACATGAAAAACAACAAGGTGCCTGGTGACAGCCAGCATGGCTTCACTAAGGGGCAATCCTGCCTGACCAATCTGGTGGCCTTCTATGATGGGGCTATGGAACTGATGGACAGGGGTAGAGCAGCTGATGGCATCTACCTGGACTTGTGCAAGGTGTTCCACACTGTCCCACACAACATCTTTGTGTCTAAATTGGAGAGACATCAATTTGATGAATGGACCATTCGGTGGATAAAGAACTGGCTGGATGGCCGCATGCAAAGACTTGTGATCAATGACTCAATGTCCAGCTGGAGACCAGTAACAAGTGGTGTCCCTCACGCATTGATGTTGGGACCAATTCTGTTCAACATATTTGTTGGTGACAGGGACAGTGGGATTGAGTGCGCCCTCAGCAAGTTTGCCGATGGCACCAAGCTGTGTGGTTCGGTTGATACGCTGGAGGGAAGGAATGCCATCCAGAGGGACCTTGACACGCTTGTGAGGTGGGCTAATGCCAACCTCATGAAGTTTAACCATGCCAGGTGCAAGGTCCTACACCTGGGTCGGAGCAGTCCCAGACACAGCTACAGGTTGGGCAGAGAAGAGATTCAGAGCAGCCCTGTGGAGAAGGACTTCGGGGTGCTGGTCAATGAGAAAATGAACATGAGCCAGCTGCAGTGTCCTCAACATAAAAAGGACATGGAACTGTTGGAACAAGTCCAGAGGAGGGCCACAAGGATGATCAGGGAATTGGAGCACCTCCCATATGAAGATAGGCTGAGAAAGTTGGGGCTGTTCAGCCTGGAGAAGAGAAGGCTGAGTAGAGAATAGCAGCCTTCCAGTATCTGAAGGGGGCCTACAGGGATGCTGGGGAGGGACTCTTCATCAGGGACTGTAGTGACAGGACAAGGGCAATGGTTTTAAACTTAAACAGGGGAAGTTCAGATTGGATATGAGGAAGAAGTTCTTCACTGTGAGAGTGGTGAGGCACTGGAACAGGTTGCCCAAAGAAGTTGTAAATGCTCCATCCCTGGTGGTGTTCAAGGCCAGGCCGGATGAAGCCTTGGGTGAGATGGTTTAGTGTGAGGTGTCCCTGCCCATGGCAGGGAGGGCAGGACTGGATGATCTTAAGGTCCTTTCCAACTCTAACAATTCTATGATTCTACAATTCTAAGGTGTCCAGCCTGAAGGAAAGCTGTGGCAATTCAGTTGCCGAGATACTGTTAAGGCAGAAGATTTTTCTCTGGAGCAAACTACAGGTTTGGATTTCTTTTGTAGAGTGTCATTTTTATAAGCTCTTAAATTTTTTACAGACTTTCCTCAAAGGTAACAAAAGCCATACCTATCCTCCAAAGGCAACATGCTGGCAGATGCAAAGGGTTTGCTTCAAAACAGAGAGAGGGTGAACAAGCATGAACATCACCTTATTTTTATTATTATCCCAAGCAGGACTTTCCCCCCTATTGTCATCTTCAGAAATAACAACTGGTTGGGGATCTTTTTTAGATGTAACTCAGCTTGAATTAAATACCAAAATCAGAAAGACTTCAGCCTTATTAGACCTTAGTCAAGAAAGCAATATGCAGCTAAAAATTGTTTTTTTCTGAGTTGATGCTGTTTATCTGTGTACCTCTTCCATATATTATTTTTCAAACTTTCTCATCATGTGAAGTGCATTCTCTCTCATACATAAATCACATCTTCCTTCCTATGTGATTACTTCCTACAGTCCCTCTGACAATCTGTTCCATTAATTTATGCCACTGCTGCATAACTGCTAGGATAAGTGCTCCAATCCACCCACACAATTGCTGTTGAAGTTGTATCGACAGCAAGATAGATTCTGTTCTGGCCCTTTGATAGCACAAAGAATGCTATTCATATGTATTGCCAATTATTATTTCACCAGCTTAATGTTTAGTTTCTTACCGAGTTTACAGGCTTGGCATTTTAAAAAAAAAAGACAACAAAACAAAACTACTGAGGATCTGAGAGGCACAAAAAGAATCTTAACCATGCATGTGCTACCAAAACTGTTATTTTACAAGCAATACCAAAGAGCAGTACTATCACTAGAAGCTAATGTAGTCTCAATTAAAGATAACCAAATACATTTCCTGTTTAAAAATATAAAG